TGCTTGTGAAGGATGGTGAATGGCTGCCTGGAAATCCTGAATTGCTAAAAGGCTCATATGTCTTTGTATGTTCCCATGGATCCCGAGACCGGCGCTGTGGGGTTTGTGGGCCGTCGCTGGTTAGTAGATTCAGAGAAGAACTTGAGTTCCATGGTCTTCAAGGTAACGTGTCAATTAGCCCATGTTCTCACATAGGTGGTCACAAATACGCTGGGAATGTTATCATCTACAGATCAAACATCAATAGGGAAGTCACAGGACACTGGTGAGTAAGGAATTACGGATATATTGACTAGTTTGAGGCTACATTTATCTTTTTCATGTGGTTTTACAATAATTTTGGATGATAAGATCAAGAATACATTTGAAATGGTGTTCGTTTCTTGAACGGTTGTGATCTTTTGATTGGTATCTTCAAAATTCAGTTGTTATTAGAAGATTGGAAGTTCTCTGCAATGTCTGAATCAATCATACGCTGTTTTTGACTTGCTGATTGAATCATATTTGTGTCTAGGTATGGGTATGTGACCCCAGAAGATGTACCTATCCTCTTGGAGCAGCACATCAACAAAGGCAAGATTGTAGACCGGCTATGGAGGTATGTACAAAGTTTCTTGGTCTGTCGGTTTTCTCGCAGTTTCCGGATTAGTTGGTAATAGGTAGGGTAACACATTATGGTTGTCTGGTTTTTAGGGGTGAAATGGGTCTATCAGAAGAAGATCAGAAGAAAACTCAAGAAGGGCGGTTTCAGCTAAATGGTGCAGTCCATACGGTAAAGATCAATGGGAAAGTGAGTCAAGAATCATCAGTCCACAGCGCCGATGTTTCTTGTTGCCAATCACGAGCTGCAGAACCTAATGGTTGTTGCCAACAAAATGGGAACAGCTCTTCATGTTGTCAAGACGACACAACTCTAATGTTGTCTCTGGAAACATCAGAAGGTAATCAACTTGAAAGTGAAAACAACACAGAGAAGCTTACACCAGGAAGAAAAATTGCAGAAAAGACTTTCTTTAGAATTAATAGCGACAAAGGATCTTCAACACGTAAGGTTTGCGGAATACCAACTTGGCTAGAGAGCTGGGAGCGAGAAGATACATATGCTGCCCTTGCTGTCGTTTGTGCTGCTGCTTCTGTGGTTGTTGCCTATACTTGCTACAAACAGTTGTAATGAAGAAATTCGTATCCCTAAGATGATTGTGTATTGTGTTCTTATAAGACATTGTGATTTTGTTTCAGCTTTCAAACTACATTTCCCCTTCGTTTCAAAAAGGAGGCTTCTTGTGTCAGAACTGTTTGATGATAATGTATCCATGTTAACTCTGTGCTTCTACTTCTCAAGATTCTCAGAACCGATTGTAATTGTGTAAATATCTCAGCTTCCGGCAATTTCCCATTTGTAAAAGAAGACCATCTCAGTGTGATTCAGAATTTCCCAAGAATGGCGTTGACAAAGATTTAAAAAGAGTTCACACATTTCAAAATACTAAACGTATTTGCAGATTGCAAGGAACAATTTGATAATCTATTGGCAGATTTCTTGCTGAAAGATGTCAAAAGAAATCAAACTCCAGATAATTACTCTGGTCAGACTTGACACTGGTAGATGTGGCTGCTGCTGGAGTAGCAGGCGCACTTTCGATATCAACCGGTTTCGGTATCTCTGGTGGGCTAGCGCATCGAACCAATGCCCAATTCACTCCTTCGAAGAAAGGGTGTTGCTTCATCTCGGTTGCACCACGCTTATACGCTAATCTATGCTGGGGCTCCTTCACAAGCAGACTCCTAATCAAATCCCTAGCAGCAAAACTGACAACCGGAGATTCAGGGAAACGCAGAGGCTGACCCACAACGTTGAAGAGTGTTGCTCGGTTCCCTGACCCTTTAAACGGGGTTTTACCAAACAATAGCTCATACAGAAAGATCCCAAAAGTCCACCAATCAACCGCACTCCCATGCCCTTCCCCTTTGATGATCTCAGGAGCTAAATACTCATGTGTGCCAACAAATGACATTGAGCGAGCACTTGTGGGCTCAGCAATGAGCTCGGGCAACGGACTTACCTGGTTTCCAGTTTCGTTTTTCATTTTCTTGTCTTTCTTGGATTTACTTGAGAAAAAACGTGGAGAAAAGCAAGTTGTAGGAGCAGATATGCAAGATGGCTGTTGGATGCAAGCAGGTTGCGCACAATAACCCGAGTTCCTTTGCCCTTCAGACGCAAGAACAGTTGATCTGACCACTGTGGGGCTAACAGTACATCTCAAGGAGAGGTCGAAGTCAGAAAGCATCACATGTCCATCATCTCTAACAAGAACATTCTCTGGCTTTAGATCGCGGTATATGATGCCAAGCATATGAAGATATTCCATTGCAAGAAGTACTTCCGCTACATAAAACCTGGAAAATGTAAACAAAGTCAATATGATTTAACAAAAAAATGGATGAAAAACATTAAATTGATTATGATTCAAAATGTTTTTACTTTGCTGCTTGTTCTGAGAATCGCTTCCCGGGCTGTCTTTGTCGAAGGGTATGCAAGTCACCTCCAGGACAGAACTCCATAACCAAACATGAGAACTTCTCAGTCTCGAAGTGACTATACAAAGTTGGGAGAAAAGGGTGGTCCAGACACTGCAATATCTCCCTCTCGGTCTGAGCTCTAAGAAGCTTTTTACGGCTAGCCAAAGCCCCTTTGTCCATAACCTTCATTGCAAAATAACACCTTGTTCCGTGCAACTCAGCAAGATGGACAGTTCCGATATCCCCACACCCTAACCTCTTCAGGAGCCTAAAATGGTTCAAGCCCAATACACCATGTTTCGTTCGGACAGCTTGTATTGCTTCCCATCTCACGTCATTCGCCTTGTGAGGCTTGTTGTTGCTACTTAAGCTGCTACACGTGCTCTCATCACTGATATCACTGCTTGTGCTTGGTCTACATGTGTTACTCTTCCCGCTCTCAGCGAGATCAGACTTTTCATTTAATTTAACTTCTACTCCAGTTTTACTGTCGCTGCTTGGAGCAAAAGACAAAGTTGAAGATACTTGATCTGCCAAAGTGCTTACTGAGACACTTTGACTGGAATTAGAAAGTGAAACTTCCGGGGTTTCCTTATCGCCCTTTTCCTTATTATTTTCAGGGAGAACTCCAGAACCAGACTTAGAGGCCATGAATGGATACCTATCTACTTAACACTCAAGATTCAAGGAGATGCTCTTGACTCCAGTTACCACTACTGTCACGTATCCCGTTAGTGATCTGAGGTCTGCATTGAGCAAAACATAGGGTCCGTTACTTTAGCTCAATAGAACATACAAGAAACAAAAATACATGTACTATTGGTTATCGTGTAGAAAAAGACGGCTGACTAGAACAAGAAACCTTAAAACACTTGAGATTCAGATAACATAATGTTGAGCTCGTTTATAAAAGTAGAATCATGGGAAGATCAATAATCAAGAGATAGAATCACAGCTCTCATTCTTTTCTCCCCATAAAAAAAGAAACATCCTTTACTATAGAGTTGAGCAGATCAACACAGAAACACTAAAAAGTTGCTATTTTTATAAACAGAAGATAACCACAGAGCTGATGCCACAGCTCAATCGTTGCCAAGGGATTGCAGTAGGAATCACAAGATCGAGCGTTATCCATCAAATTAAGAAAAATATTTGAGTCAAAGAAATGATAATTTCCATATAGAGAACATATCGAAAGAAAGAAGCTTTAGCTCAACCCGCGTTACGGATCCCAGTGACAATCAATTAAGAAACATAAATTTACTCAACCCAAAGTAATTCACTACTTCCAAATCAGGGAACACTTATAAACCCTATGATTCTCCAATTAACCAAACTTAGCATAAACCCTAATCACACATTTCATGCAAGTAGACTTTTTTCCCCAAGTATAAACAGATCTCAGGAAACTAATAAGAACAATCAAACAAAGCTCTTCTGGATCTAGGCAGACTCATAGAAACAAAAGAAAATGAAGAAATGAAATTGAGGAGATATACTCATAAATCATTACCTTAAGAAATAGCTTTGGGATTGAAAGATCTTGTCACAGAATTGTTTTGGTCAGGAATTAAGCAGAGAAAGAAGAAAAGGGATACCAAAAAAAAAGGAGAGGACTTTCATCAATAATCAATCAGTAAAGAGAAAACTCATCACCTTCCTTCCATGGAAATGAAGAGAGAGAGAGAGAGATGAATCAGAGAGTAAGAAATGAGAGAGTTGGGTCTACCATGAAAAGAGGAAAGAGGTGGTCAAAGCAAAAGTTTTCGACTTTTTTTTAGGGCTTTTCAATTCTTTTTTCCTCTATTTCTTACAACTGGAAGACAAAAAGCTTTCGAGTCCCCAAAAAAAAGAAAAACAATGCTTTCAAGGATTCAAATTATATGCAGAAATGTACTATATTTGATATTTTCAATGGTTTATTGAGATCTTGTTATTTCATTAATTACTCTTTGATCTTGTTTGGATCATCCATATCATAGTCCACAAAATTACTTACCATTTTGCTTAGCAAGAAATTAAAATGAACTCATTTGCTTTTATAAGATGTATCTTTTGGGTCCTGCTAAGGAATCTCTTTTCTATAATCTTTATCGGATTTTGGAATACCAAATACATAAAGTGCATACAGCAAATTATACGATGATATATATGTGATTCATGTGAGAGTGTGTGTGTATAATATGGGCTTCAAAATCTAAAAATAGAAACAAGAAGATTAGTGTGAGAGAAGTAAATGTAAAGGTCCCCAACAGAGGAGAATCTGACAAAGATGAATGAAGAATTGAATTGGATTGTCATGTTTCTCCAACACTTAAGTCCCACTTCAGAAAACCGTCACATCCCCTCCCTAACAATTAACAGCTCACTCTCAATTCCCTTAGTATTTCCATCAAATCAATTATGTGAGAAAATTCTATCTTTTAGGTTGTGTGACGGACCCAACCCTCCAAGAATTGCCAGGATCATAACAAAATCCATAGCCTTTCAAACACTTATGTGATATTTTCTGTGAGAGAAAAGTAGGGACATTTTTATTTTTTCAATTAATTTACAAGTCCAAATTGAAAACCAAATAAAGAAACAGCTTCTCTCAAAATATTGTAACGTGATTGATACAAAACTTCTGTTGGACATGTGTGGGTTAATAACTCTTTCTTTACTCAAGTTAATAACTCAAACTACAAAGCCACTGCCGTTATAGATACCTTAGCCTCAGCCATTAAAGCCTCCTTTCTTGTTTCCTTCACCACGACCACAACACCGAAAGATTCTATTGCATTAAGTTTGTTCTCCAAGATGCAACACGAACCTATATTCTTATCCCCTGTGTTTTGGCTTCTCCTTAGCATTCTCTCTCATGGCTTTTCTTTTCTCTTCTCTGCAACATATTGAACCATTTATGGGCAAATGGGCGTACGATACAACAATGTACATAAGACTGGTTCTCTTTTCTGTCAAGAAAACATTGAGTTTTTTTTTTTTACCTAGCTTGAGCAATTTCATTCTTCCATTGTGATCTCTTCTTCTTTTGCTTCCTGGGTTCTTCCACATTACTACTTCCGGTTTTTGTGTATTTGTTCCTTTTGCCTTTGTCAATCTCCTTTGACCTTGGAATTTTTTGTTTGTTCTTGTTTTCTCTAGTGTTACTCTCTCGCTTGGGTTGTCCATTGGTAACAGGTGGCTTCTCTGACTCCTCAATGGCCTCAACTTTCTCATCATCATCATCACTAGACGACACCTGAGCTTGCTCCATTGTTATATCTGGCTCAACATTTCCTGAAGGCTGCATTGCATTGCTCATCTTCTTCAGCTGCAGAACCAAAAAAAAAAAAAAAAAGTAAAATACCTTGTTGGTGTAATCACTATTGATATTTTCTTCCATCCGCATTGAATGGTTGATCTTTTGCAGGGAAAAGCTATTTATAGGTTAACCCAAGTGTATACCTTAGCAACAAAGAATCCATCCATGTTGTGTATGTGAGGATAGAAACGTCTAGTCTTCTCTAAAGAAGGGTGGAACCGGTGTTCTATAAAACTGCTAAATCTGATGACATGCAGCAAAACATTTGTGTTCAGATGACGAATTATGAAATTTTCCAATGCAGATGAAAATGTATATTACCCTGGTCGGCCAAAATCAAGTCCACATGGAACGAGTTTAACATCCCTGTTTTTCAGAGCATAATCGATGACAGCTTCGTTCTGCATAATTTGTTGAACAAATGAAAATAGTGACAAAACATGAAGATGCCAGGAAAAAAAAAAAAAAGTGGAACAGAAAAAGTATGGTTCACCAACCTCGGGAATCATAATTGAGCATGTTGAGTAAACAATATATCCACCGGTTTTGGAATTGGCGTCTACCAAATCAATCGCACCAAGTATAAGTTGCTATGCACATAAAAACGAGAGTATAGTTAGCCTTACAAACAAAATGCATCTTTCTTGATCTCCTCGCAGTAAGAGGGTATAAAAGGCGTTTATGCCATTTTCATCTTTAAATATTTGTCTTGGATGTAAACAATGTTTTTAGTTGATATTGTTTAAGGCAACAACATACCTTTTGCAAATGGGCAAATTTCTTTATGTCATCAGCACTTTTGGAAGTCTTAACTGATTCATCTTTTGATATCACCTGCATTGTGTAGAAGTGGACATTAAACTATGAACAGGGAAATTCACTTAAAGAGACTATAAGAGTGTCGGGTCCAAAATTTCTTACTCCAGTTCCACTGCAAGGAGCATCCAGCAATACTCTATCAACCGAGTTCTGACCTAAAACCTTGGGTAGCTGAAAGGCAAAGAAGATGAGATAAACAAAAAATGCAATGGAATAATAGAGAAGCTGTCTTTAAAACTTTGTTATTTGGTTCAATTAAAGTCTTGCCAGTAATTTCTAATTTGATTGAGCTGATGGTTTACAACCAGTTTGCTAATTTAACATCCTCAAGCATGTATCGTCGAGAGAAGAATAAAGGTTCAAAGAGCTAACCTCTCTTCCATCATAGTTACAAACTATGGTATTTGTCACCCCCATGCGATGCAGATTGGCAGAAAGTGACTTAAGCCTAGGTACTTTCATCTCGTTTGCATATATTATTCCTGGTTATATGATCACTATAACATTAGGATAACTGACTAAAATTATGGGTTGAAGGAACAAGGAACCAATGAATGCATACCTGTATTTTTCATTAGTGCAGCAACATAAGTTGTTTTACCACCAGGGGCAGCACTGCAGTAGTATAAAAACTAGTTATAGATATACTAGTTGCCTATGTCTCACATCACGGGGCAATCAAATTGGCTTTTCCGTTTTCACAGCACTTTGCATGATTAAATCAAAACACATATACAAATCACAAGCTACACTTGAATATCAACTTAAAGTACTGTTTGGTCATCATAAGTATAATAATTTGAGTTGAGACACAAATAAAATACATTTATGTAAGATAATTACTTACGCCATGTCCACAACTCGCTCTTTTTCCCGAGGAGCAAGGGCCATCACTGGCAAGAAGGAACTAGCACTTTGCAACTGAAAATGTACCAAGAACATACTTAAGTAAATAATTAAGAATACCCACAAAGTATTAGTCGGAAGTACAAAAAGATCAGAAAATCAAGTACCATATAAAAACCCGCCAAATATTCAGGAGTTGCACCAATCGGAACTTGGGAATCATAAACGATAAGTCCAACCTACAAATATTATGCCAGGATCAACTACAGATGGTCCACATAAAAGTTTTCTAAAAAAAAATGGAAGACAATCTGCAAATACGACTTACTTTTGACCACTTGCTTAACGGGTCAAGATTAACTCCTCTATTCAAAAGTACATCAGCCAGATCCCGTCTTCGAGTCTTAACCAAAACAAACATGAGCATAAATTGCATACCTCAAAAGTTGAGAAATACTACACTCCAAAGCACAACCAAGTTTACCTTAAGAGTGTTAGTACGGATAGATGTAGGTCTTTTCTTTTCAAAAGCTTCGATTAGTTCCATGAGTTCAACAACAGGAAACATCTGCCAAATAATAATAATTAAAGAGTATAAGTAACAGAAATCATACACATAACTCTAGATCAAAGCGAGATTAAAGAGTAAATCCAAAGACTAGGGAATAACCTCAATCAAAGTTCCAATAAGAAACTCATTATAGCCGTAGTAAGAACCAAGATCAGCTTTAAGCTGTTCAACAAAATCAGTCCTCTCGTGCTTGTCTCCTTTTGGCCTCAAATCCTTAAAATTCGACAGCACTCTAACAACTGAAACATAAATTAATACCAATAAACTAAGAAGAGAGAGGATGATTCCTTAGGAGATTTACACAATCCTAATAATAACATTACACCAGAATTCTTAAAAGGAATAAAATTTGAAAATGTTACTCACTCTCTCTTATCCTGATTTGCAAGCTAGGAAGATCTGGTGGCCTACGTGCCTCTTCTTCAAGTTCCTAAACAATGTAGAGTTAACTAAAGAGAGCCAGGAAATGAACAAATTCATAGTTAAGGAAAGGAAAATGTAACCTTTTGGGTTGGTAGCTGAAACTCATCAGGTATTTCCTTAATGTTCATCTTGAATTCATCTTCTGCATCTTTTTCCTCCTTTTTACGTTTTCTATCAATAGCTCTAGATTTCCTCTCGAGCTTGGATCCACCAAAGTCAGAACCCAAAATTCCCTCCTCGTGATCGCTACCATCGATAAAGTCGCCAGCTAAAGGTTCTGTATCCTCACCATCATCATCATCATCATCTGAGAAAAAGTCAGAACCTGATTCAGACCCTTCATCTCCTTGATCAGACAGTTCATTCTCTTCTTCTTCTTCTTCTTTCTCGTCTGTGGAAACTTCAGGCTTCTCCTCCGAAATACCTTTCCTCTGCTTCTTCAATGGAGGCTTCTGGGATTTAGGCGCCTTTTTCAATGGAGACGAGTTCGTACGCTTATACAGTGGCGGAGTCTGTGAATGTGCCACCTTCTTCTTGTTACGCGTAAGAGCATCCATGGATGCTGTCTTTACAACTTAATTAGGGTTTATCGCCGTGAGGGTTTAGCACAAGTGCAGAGGAGGAGGTAGGAGAAGAAGGTCGTCGAAGAAACTAGTAACGTTGCTTAATGGGCTTGATTGATACTACCTAATGGGCCGCACTCGAAGTTATTTTTTGTCAGCCTAATAAATTATGCTCGAGCCACTGAATTCATAAAAACCTTATAAAGTATATTCATTTAAGTATGTTCCTGACTCCTAAGAATCTGCCTATACCCACGTATGATTTACACTACTTTTTTGTGTTTTGTATGGTTGGATAATTAATTAATGATTGTGTTTGTTGGATATGAGTGATTATTTATATATTTCTTAAGGATCACTAACTTGATGAAATCCAAATGATAAAAAAATATATATTCAAATAAGTAGGTTTCCGAGAATCTGAGATACACGTATGATTTCCATTAATACAGTACTTTTGTGTTTGGAATTGGGTGCTTTGTATGATTGGATACTTAATGAAGTGTGTTGATGAGTGTTTATTTGTAGATTTCTTATGAATCACTAACTTGATGATGATTATAATCCAGATGATATATACACTTAATCAAGAACGTATGTCAGGGCCGTAACTAAGCACAACCGGGTGAAACATTTGTGTTATATATGTCCCCAATTTTTAACGAGTAATATCTATAGATTTTAGGAGTTTCAAACAGTTAAAAAAAATTTATATATAGATCATGAAGTTCTTAAACCGTAATTGTTTGTGGCTCCATAAATCGTAAGACCGGCCCTCGTATGTGTTCTGGACGTGTCAAAGTATTGTTTAACCTCTGAAAGTAATAATGTAAACTATTTAAATTGGTATGGACAGAGTTTTCTTATATCTATGGGTTATACTCAATCAATTACCTAGAAATTATAACTCATCAAACAAGTTATTGATGATAAAAAAAAAAAAATTATTATTGATGATGCCTGCGTTACGTACCCATGCATATTGAGTAACTTGATAACAAAATTTTGAATTCACGTAATTTCCTAAAATCGGTTCTAAACGATGCAGTTTCTTCTTTAAGAAAAAAAAAGTTTGAAAACACGACTTTTTTATTTTGGTGAATTCAAATCCTAACTACTGTATCAAAAATAATTTGATTGATTGATTGGTTGAAATGTCTTGTAAACCTGTATTAGAATATTATCATTTGCAGGATATATGTAATTTGTTTTTGGTGAAGTTTTGCAGGTTATTTATTACACATACAACCTAGCTAAATGCCTAAATTTCATAGATATTCACATGAAACAGATTGAATAAGACAGTGTGTCTAAAGTGGATTAGAAACAGAAACTTGAATAAAAGTGGAAACATGCGTTTAATATTGTAGAACAGATAGATTATGGAAACAATGATGCATATTGGCAATCAAAACATAAACAATGATTATTGATAACAAAAAAAATAACATAAACAATGATACAATTCTGACTACAAACAAGAACGAAAGACACAGTTCTGAGTTCTGACGCGCGTCCTACGCACAAAGAGCCCGAGTCAAACTCGGGATGTACTATATATTAAGCGGTGCACCAGCAAATATACACGTACGAACCAATTACATGTATAAAAACTTTGTAACTATCGATAAAAATTTTGTTTTTAGCTGCTGCAAGTGATCGCCAATTAAATTGAAACTCTTACCTCACAAAATTGTCTCTTACTACTAGTTTAGTTATTTATTTCTATCAACATCCGTTAATTATTGGAATGCTCAATTTCTTTTTTTGTAATTTACTCTCTATCCTAATCTTTTACTTTGAATGAGAGTATGTAACCTATTTTTGATAAGTTCTTTCTTTTCTTGTCTTTCTTTCTTTTCTTCTATATAGAAGTCTATCTCCTGTAGAACTGATTTTTATTTCTTTCAAACCAAAAAATAAAGTGAATAAGAAAAATAATAATAATTCAAGACTATAGATTAGACGGTATACACTACAAATTGCTATATCCACAATTTGTAAATGATTAAATGCCAAAAATTGCTATATTTAGTATCTGTTTATTCTTTTAGTTCAAGTACCTATTTCAATAAGATACTCGATGTAGAATCTACCTTCATACTCGAAATCAAAATTTTTACCTTTTTATCTCGAAGCTGAAAGTTTTTATTTTTCACTGAAACAACTTTAGATTTTATGAGTCAAGTAAATTTGTCGATTTTAGAAAGTCTACATAAATTCGTCGAGAAATCAAGACTTTTCACTGTAATACATATTAGAGGAAAATACTCTCAAGTATTTCTCTAATACTACATCCTCTCAAACATCTTTATTAAAATGGAGGTCTAAACGCAGAGAAAACTTCTTTTCATGTCAGGTCATTAACACATGTTGCTTACAAGAACATAACTTCTCCGGCAAGTTATCCAGAACTCTGGTCATCCTCACCCGAGCCGATCGACGTCAGGGCCTAACTAAAAATGGTAGGCTCTCTCGAAGTATCTAAGCCTCCAGATCAGAAGTTTGAGTCCAAGATCGTCATAGCCGGTAAATAAAATCTTGGTTCGGTGTGGTTTAATTCCTTTTTCTACCGTTATGGCAGAACCTAACTGATACTTGATTTGTATAATTCACATTTGTTTTTCAAACATAACTCGAATCCTATAGATTAATAGGTTAATGTAAATCATACGTACTAATCAATTTTGGCCCAGGTGCAGATGAAGAAGAAGAGGAGGAAAACGACAGTCCAATTGAAGAGGTCCGGTTAACCGTGCCGATAACCGACGATCCATCTCTACCGGTTTTGACGTTCCGAACATGGTTCTTAGGAATGGTGTCTTGCGTGGTACTCGCGTTCGTGAACAATTTCTTCGGTTACCGGTCGAATCAGCTCATGGTATCTTCAGTCGTGGCTCAGATCGTCACTCTCCCTCTAGGAAAGCTCATGGCCACGACTCTACCAACAACAAAACTCCGGTTACCTGGTACAAATTGGTCGTGTTCGTTGAACCCTGGACCATTTAACATGAAGGAACATGTACTAATCACCATATTCGCTAATACTGGGGCCGGAGGAGCTTATGCGACCAGCATCATAACCATCGTTAAAGCATTTTATCACCGGAACCTCAATCCCGCCGCGGCCATGTTGCTTCTGCAAACCACTCAGGTCTAATATATACAATATAATTCTCAGTTTTCATAATTTTTTGTAACAGTACTTAAATTATTTTTATTTTTTGTCATATAGTTGTTGGGATATGGATGGGCGGGTATGTTCAGGAAATTCCTAGTGGACTCACCTTACATGTGGTGGCCTGCAAATCTTGTTCAAGTCTCTCTCTTTAGGTTCGTGTCTTTTTCTCCAATTAAACAATTCGCATTTGAAACTGTGACAAAATTTTAAAACTGTTTACTTTTGTATGTGAAATTGTATGGATTAGAGCCTTGCATGAGAAGGAGGAGAAGCGTGAAGGCAAACAAACAAGACTTAGATTCTTCTTAATAGTCTTCTTCCTGAGCTTCACTTACTACATAGTCCCAGGCTATCTTTTCCCTTCCATCTCATCCCTCTCCTTTGTCTGCTGGATATGGACCCGCTCCGTGACCGCTCAACAGATCGGTTCAGGGTTGCACGGTCTCGGCATTGGCTCATTTGGTCTCGATTGGTCCACGGTTGCAGGTTTCTTAGGCAGTCCTTTAGCTGTACCGTTCTTCGCTATAGCCAATTCCTTTGGCGGATTTGTCATCTTCTTCTACATCATCCTTCCTATCTTCTACTGGAGCAACGCTTACGAGGCAAAGAAGTTTCCTTTTTATACCTCTCACGCATTTGATCACACTGGTCAGCGTTACAACACCACTCGTATCCTCAACCATAAAACATTTGATATTGATCTTCCCGCTTACGAAAGCTATAGCAAGCTTTACCTTAGCATTCTGTTTGCTCTGATTTATGGACTCAGCTTCGGCACCCTTACCGCAACCATTTCTCACGTCGCCCTCTTTGACGGAAAGTAAGATTCTTTTTTTTTTTTCCTACTTTGCATCTCAAAATATAGATTAATTTCTCAGTTTCCATGAAAAATCTTTTGTTGTTGTTGTTGTGGTTGTTTCCATGAAGGTTTATTTGGGAGCTGTGGAAGAAGGCAACATTGGCGACAAAGGACAAGTTTGGAGATGTGCATACAAGACTGATGAAGAAGAATTATAAGGAAGTACCTCAATGGTGGTTCGTAGCGGTTCTCGCTGTTTCCTTTGTGCTAGCTCTTTACGCATGTGAGGGATTTGGCAAACAGCTTCAGCTTCCGTGGTGGGGACTTCTACTCGCTTGCGCCATCGCCTTTACCTTCACTTTGCCTATTGGAGTTATCCTAGCAACCACAAACCAGAAAATGGGTCTTAATGTTATATCGGAACTGATCATAGGGTTCTTGTATCCGGGAAAGCCACTTGCCAATGTGACTTTTAAGACTTATGGTACTGTGAGTATGTCTCAAGCCTTGAACTTTGTCGGAGACTTCAAACTTGGCCACTACATGAAGATTCCTCCGAGATCTATGTTCCTCGTTCAACTCGTTGCGACTATTGTTGCTTCAACTGTCTCCTTTGGGACCACATGGTGGCTGCTTTCTTCAGTCGAGAACATCTGTAACACAGATAAGCTCCCAAAGAGTAGTCCGTGGACTTGCCCTGGAGATGAAGTATTCTACAACGCGTCAATCATTTGGGGAATCATCGGTCCTGGAAGGATGTTCACAAGTAAAGGTGTTTACCCCGGGATGAACTGGTTCTTCCTCATTGGCCTCCTTGCTCCTGTCCCGGTCTGGTTCTTTGCAAGGAAATTCCCGGAGAAGAAGTGGATACAGCTTATTCATATTCCCTTGATCTTCTCAGGGGCTAATGCGATGCCAATGGCCAAGGCTGTGCATTACTGGTCGTGGTTCGTTGTCGGGATCGTGTTCAACTACTATATCTTCAGGAGGTACAAAGGGTGGTGGGCAAGGCATAACTACATCCTCTCTGCAGCTCTTGATGCAGGCACAGCGATTATGGGAGTGTTGATCTACTTTACGTTGCAGAACAATAACATAAGCTTACCAGATTGGTGGGGGAATGAGAACACAGACCATTGCCCTTTGGCAAATTGCCCGACAGAGAAAGGGATCGTCGCTAAGGGCTGCCCGGTGTTCTAAAACCTTGTTGCAGTTCAACATTTTCTCTGGAGTTTCTCAGACCTGCAGGTGAAAGACTGTTACTGCCAAGTGGTTTGGTTGCCATAATAATATTGTGTAAAGACTCTGTGAGAGTTTTAAGTGATAATGTAAAAAATGATTTGCAAATGAAGAACAGCTAAATATGATAGCAAGTTCAGTCAAAGAGAGAACTTGAATATAAAAGGTAAACTAAAGCTCATTAGTGAATAATTTCAGGACAAGCAAAACAAAGGCTAAACGTTCCATCTCTTGCTAATTGAATTCCTAAAGGACACAGCTCTGTTAACAGCTGCTGTAAAATGCTTCCCTGCTTGTCAATTCCATGCAATCAAGACATAAATTTGCCATCTTCTAATGAACTCAGGAAAACTCCTAAATTGTGCAATTTAATGTACATGTCAAACGCAATCAGATCCTAAGCTTCATAGTTGGGTTTTTCAAACCTTTAAAATCATGATGAGAGAGATCTCCAGAGGAGACAAGAGATAGAGGACAAGCTTTATGTACGCATGCTGAGAGATCTCAGACCTGAGCTCGCCATTATTTCTCAAGGACCTTCAAATTTGGGTATCCGTTTACCCGAATCGAACCTACCCGACTCGGCCCAACCCTTACAAGTAATGGCCCACTGTTCAATGTTTGATGATACTTTTGAATCCAAAAAATATTTTGGCTTTGCGTAGAGGGCGAGAGGGAGAGAGGGCGTTTCTAACTAAAAAACGAGAATGGTTAAAGCAGCAGCGGTTGCTGTCGGAGTTTTGCTTCAAAGACAAAAACTTTTAAGGTTGTTAGGTTTTATAGGCCAACGGTTTATCTTCTCCTACTTCTCTGCTTTTTCTGCATTCTTCAAAAAATCCATCTTTTTTGGGTTGATTCTTCGTCGCTATCACACGCCCAACTTCACCTGCTCTGACATTATCACTACACCTTCCTTTCTTCTTCATCTCTTCTTTCTTCACTATTTTTATCAAAACCTTCTCCTCCATCTGGGTTCACACCAAAACCAACACTTTTTGGTATTTTGCTCTGTTTCGCGGAGTGAAGATAAGGTATTTGATGACATGCCTCACTGATATATCCATCCATGTGTTTTTACATGTACATTTAATTGCATATCTGAAGACTTTTCGTGACTTTCTAGCTCAAGCTTTTACTCTGTTCCTCTTTTGTTCTTGTTCAGGTCCCAAGAGAGAGATCAAATCATCAAATCTCTCTCTGTTTCCGATATGAGTACCCGTTTTTCCTCTCAGTTGCAATCATCAGCCATTAACTCCATCACTGTCTCCTCATCTTCTTCCCTCGATTCCACGTCACGGGATGATAACATTCACATGGCTCCGGAGAGCTCTCCATCTTCTTCCTTCTTGATGAGACTTGCCATGAGGGTATCTAGAGCAACGTGGTTCATTTTCTTGAGAAGAGTCTTTCATTACCAGAACGCCTCAAGATCCGATCTTGGCACCAATCCTTTCAATTCTATCACTTGGATGATTTCAGAGCTCATCGCTTTACTTGTACAGATCACTGTCATAACATCCACACTAGCTTTGTCCAAGAAAGAGAGGCCTGTTTGGCCGATGAGGCTATGGATCACCGGCTACAACGTCGGATGTCTGCTCAATCTTATGCTATTATACGGTAGGTATCGTCAGCAACATACTAGCCAAGGAAATGCATTTAGCTTCGGCGATATTGAGCTGCAACAGAGAAGCAGAGAAGAGACCACCAGGTTACTAACAAAAATCTAGTTTTTTCAAGTTTGATCATATAATGCAAAGATTTCTAGGATAATGATTTATTGCCTGTGTGTTTTAGGTGCTCGCATTTGATGAACAGATGCAGGACATCGCTGGAGCTATTCTTTGCGATATGGTTTGTGATAGGTAATGTATGGGTTTTTGATTCTCGGTTCGGTTCTTTCCACTATGCTCCAATCCTTCATGTCCTCTGCATCTCCCTGCTCGCTTGGAACGCTCTATGCTACTCCTTCCCGTTTCTTCTCTTCCTCCTGCTCTGTTGTGTTGTGCCTCTCCTTAGTAGCTTCCTCGGCTACAACATGAACGTTGGATCTTCGGAAAAAGGAGCTTCAGATGACCAAATCTCCAGTCTCCCTAGTTGGAAATACAAACTCATTGACGAAGCTTCAGATTCTGCTCAAGCAAGCAATGATCCGGTAAGAGCTCTAATCTGAATTCTGAAATAGGTCAAATAGTCAGGAATCAATATTTCTATGGATCGTTTTTACCACCTCTAAAACTGCAAGTAACATTCTTAGTATCAAAACTGAAACCCACCGGTTTCATTATTGCAGGAATGTTGTATATGTTTGGCAAAGTACAAAGAGAAAGAAGAAGTGAGAAAGCTTCCCTGTTCGCATAGGTTTCACCTCAAATGTGTAGATCAATGGCTTCGTATCATCTCGTGTTGTCCTCTCTGCAAACAAAATCTTCCTAACTAAAAAATTAAAACGAGACACGAGACACACTCACAAGTCACAATATTGGATCTCTGACCAAAGTACCATATTTTGGTTGTTTTTTTTTTACTTTCCTTTGTTTGTTTTTTTCTGTTGTCGCCTACACACGGTTACTTGTGTGAGTGTCATTTTCATTCCCTTTTTTTTTTGTGTGTGTGTGTAGTTGTGTAGAAAGGAGCTCACCAGTAACTGTAACAATACCTGAAAAAATGTAAAAAAAAAAATTCACAACATGATCAATTAATTGTTTACCAGAAGAGTTTGTTCCTCTTTTACCATAAATCAAAGTCTTATACTTTTATTTGATGGTGAATGTAATTAAAATCTTATACTGGATTTTGCTATAACATTTTTCCAAAGACAATTTAATCCGAATTCAAAACCAAAGACCACAAATCAGACCAAACCAAGCAACAGTCAGAATCAGATCACACGACACGGCGTCGTATTATTGAAACGACGGCGTTAGATACAGCGCATAATGGACACATGCTCCACTAGACGACGACGTGTGAAAGTGAATGTAATTATTTACAACTGTATCAACATCGAGTAAATAAACAAAGTTATTTAATTTTTGATTAAAAAAGTGTAAAAATGCCAACAAACAAAAATAATTTGGTATTTTTCTTAGTTTCCATATTCATTCTGCTAATAGAAAATCGTGTCTACCTTTTTCTCTCACTTACCCAATAAGAGCTTTTTTCGCGTTATCCACCGCAAACATCGTCACCTTCAACCGCCGGAGCCGCCGCAAGGAAGGCTCTTATCCTCCGTGGCGTAAGGCTTTTTCTTCTTCTATTTTCTCCTTTATCTACGATTCCTCGGTCGGTCGCTTCCTCGTAATCTCGTGTGTATATTCCGGGAAAATCGCGATGGGAAAACAAATTAAAATTTGAGATTGAGAATCAAGCAACTAATTTCTTCGCAAGCTTATAGATCCATGAGCTGATTACCAACGAGATTCATCTCGTTTCTCTGAGTTGTTGTATCTCTGAATCCGAACGATTTGGAATCTAAAACTCGCTGGATCGCCTTTTTCTCATATGCGTCGTTTCTCCTTAGCGTAATCACTTGTGTGATTCATTTCGCGATTAGATTCAGGTTTCTGACGATTGATTTCGTCTGGATAGTTCTATCTCGTTCTTCATGATGCATTTCTGATTCCTAAAATTTATTCTACTTCATGTATATTTTGGGGCTGTTTCTTAGATTTGGGTTTTGCCTATTCCATGAATACATTGGTTAATCTGGAAATGAATCTGGAGTTTAGATTAATGCATAAAGTTTAAGATATGACTCTTTTCTTTTTTTGAGTTTCATAGTATCTGGTGCTTTAGTTTACTTCAGATCTGAGAATGATGAATCTTGTTTGCTCCTGTCAAATCTTCTTTATCTGTTTTGCAATTTGATGAGCTAATAAATGATTATATCTCATTTCCTTCCCATCGCAGATTTTTTTAAGGTGTACAAAGAATTGCCTTTTTGACGAACCAGGAAATGGTTAAAAGGTACTTTATCTTGTTCATATGTATAGGTCTTTAGTTTCTTTCAAGTTGTTCGAAAGTTTCTTATATTTTTGTTATTTAACAGGCATGGGGAGTTTTGATTTACAAGAGATATCATGTCGCAGTGCATAGACGGTTTCAAGCATGTATGCTCCTCTTTCTTCCGGTGTTTTGATATCGATATTTACAAACAATCTGGAGGCCTTGGAGACCCTGAACTGCTTGCCAGAGAGACAGTTTGTATGCTCTCTGCTTCTTTTCCATCTTTTTTTGCACTCTTTTTTGTTCAGTTATATGATGATTCAAAGGCTCGCTATTCCTCTAGTTGATGCTCTCTGTTAAGAGGAATGCAAATCTTTCTTTCTGTATTTTGAACGTCGAATCGTTTGGGTGCAGTTAGCGTGAGTGAAATAGAAGCTCTCTATGAGCTATTTAAGAAAATCAGCAGTGCTGTGATTGATGATGGGCTAATAAACAAGGTAATGTAGGACTTATATGTCTGTTATGCCACTCACTTATACTCCTCACATATTGCTACTTCTTTTGCACAGCCTTTTCTGATTTTCCTTGACGTGTCCTGTTGTTCAGGAAGAGTTTCAGTTAGCCTTGTTCAAGACAAATAAAAAAGAGAGCTTGTTTGCAGACCGGGTATGTTTTTCTTTTTAAATCAAAAATACTTTGTTATCCATTTGCCAAGATCCTTTTTGAAAGATAACTTGACAGTACCAATCACAGGTATTCGATTTGTTCGACACAAAGCATAATGGAATACTAGGGTTTGAGGAGTTTGCGCGTGCTCTCTCTGTCTTTCATCCAAATGCTCCCATAGAAGACAAGATTGACTGTACGTCTCTGATCTTAAAAAGTTGATCCTAGAAACCGTCTATAACAAATGATCTGATGTTCACATGCTACATATAATCCATTAATAGTTACCGGGAACATTGTGTTGCAGTTTCGTTTCAGCTATATGATCTTAAGCAGCAAGGTTTCATCGAGAGGCAGGAGGTGAAGCAAATGGTGGTGGCTACTCTTGCTGAGTCCGGCATGAACCTGTCAGACGAAATCATAGAGAGTATAATCGACAAGGTGTGGTTCCTTCCTTTCCCTGCTCGATAGTATACTCTTGATCCACTGTAGTATAGCCAACTCATGATGGCAGTTGAAAATAAAGTAAAGAGTGGTTTCTAAGTTTCATCTTTGACAGACATTTGAGGAAGCTGACACAAAACATGACGGGAGGATCGATAAGGAAGAGTGGAGGACCCTTGTTCTCAGGCATCCTTCCCTTCTAAAGAACATGACTCTCCAGTATCTTAAGTGAGTTCCTAAAGCAAGACTAATCCGAGGTTTAGGCAATGCAACTTCCAATTTTTCTTTGTCACGTATTTAACACCGAACTCTCATATTGCGTGCAGGGATATCACAACTACATTTCCAAGCTTTGTGTTCCACTCGCAGGTGGAAGATACCTGAGAAAAACAATAGCATATTTGCAGAGGAGACAATTTGGGAATTGTGTTTGTTTTCTGATTATGTATCATGTTTATTTGTTTCATTCTCTCTGAACATTTTCAAGATTTTGTTGTTACTTGTGTGAAAAAAGAAAAGAAAACAAATCTGTATTTTTTCTGCTCCTGATTTTGGTTGATGTTTTTCTCCTCGCATCTGTAGATATACTACTAATGTCTAATCTTGAAACATGATTCCTATTAAATATTTATCACCTAAAACGTCAATTAAATATTTATATTAATCTTTTTAATAATAAATTTGTACTATTTTTGAAAAATTGAAAATTATGTGCTAAATTTTATAACAAAACCTATTTTTGTAATATTTGTGAAAATTGCCCTAATATCTAATACCACCGCATAAATAGTACACGAGAGAGCTTCGACTTGTTTGTAATTATTTTTATTTGTCTGTTTGGTAACTGGATTATGTATTTCTAGTTTATTAGTTTTCAATTGATTCATTGGGTATTACTATTTTATTTATGTTGTGGTATTAGCCATGAGGCCCAGTAAATAGAAGAGCAAAGATAAACGTAAGCCCATAAAATGATAAACGTCTAGTACTCTTCCAAAGGAATCTATTGCATCGCAGACATGATAAACGTCACATTAAAAAACCAAGTTCACGAGACCGAGAGAAAAAACCAGAAAAATACTAGTCAAAATAGCCAAAAGATAAACTGGTGATAGAGAAAGAGAAAGGAGTCGATGGCGCCAGCTTAAACTACGGGGCTTAGTCGACCTCTTCCATCTTGCTTCCTTCTGCCTCCGCGTCATCTTCAAGTGGTGGCATGTCAGCATCAGCTTCAGTCTCACCCGCATCATCGTCAATGCTGAGTCCGAGCTTAAGCATCCTGTGGATTCTGCTTCCGAAGGTGTTGGGCTCATCAAGGCTGAAACCAGAGGTGAGAAGAGCAGTCTCGAAGAGGAGGAGGACAAGATCCTTGACTGACTTGTCGTTCTTGTCTGCATCAGCTCTCTTCCTCAACTCATCCATGATCGAGTTCTCTGGGTTGATTTCCATTGTCTTCTTGCTAGACATGTACCCAGCCATGCTGCTATCTCTCAAGGCCTGAGCCTTCATGATTCTCTCCATGTTGGCAGTCCAGCCGTACTCGCCGGTGACAAGACAGCAGGGTGAGTCAACAACACGGTCAGAGACAATGACCTTCTCAACCTTGTCTCCCAAGACATCCTTGATCACCTTGCACAGACCCTCGAACTTCTCCTTGAGCTCTTCCTTCTTTTTCTTCTCGTCCTCTGTTTCCTCGAGTTTCAAACCTTCCTTGGTGGCAGAGACAAGTTTCTTTCCCTCAAACTCCTTGAGCTGACCAATGGCGTACTCATCAATGGCATCAACCATGTAAAGGACTTCATATCCCTTCTTCTTGAGCTTCTCAAGGAAGGGTGAGTTCTCAACAGCCTTCTTGCTCTCACCAGTGATGTAGTAGATGTCATTCTGTCCTTCTTTCATCCTGGTCACGTAGTCCTTAAGACTGGTCAACTCATCTCCACTCTTGGTGGAGTGGTATCGGAGCAACTCAGCAATCTTGGTCCTGTTCTGAGAGTCCTCGTGGATACCCAACTTCAAGTTCTTGGAGAAAGCCTCGTAAAACTTGTTGTAGTCTTCTTTGTTCTCAGCAATCTCGAAGAAGAGCTCGATGCACTTCTTGACAAGGTTCTTGCGGATAACCTTAAGGATCTTGTTCTGCTGAAGAGTTTCTCTGGAGATGTTGAGGGGAAGGTCCTCTGAGTCAACAATACCTTTCACAAATCCAAGGTATTCAGGAATGATCTCTTCACAGTTGTCCATGATGAAGACACGACGGACATAGAGCTTGATGTTGTTGGGCTTCTTCTTGGTGTCAAAGAGGTCAAATGGGGCCCTCTTGGGAACAAACAGAACAGCCTTGAACTCAAGCTGTCCCTCAACAGAGAAGTGCTTGACAGCCAAATGCTCCTCCCAGTCATTGCTGAGACTCTTGTAGAAGGCAGCGTATTCCTCCTTGTTGATCTCCTCGGGCTTCCTCATCCAAATAGGCTTCTGCTTGTTCATAAGATCAAACTCATGAGACACCTCCTTGATCTTCTTCTTTTTCTTCTCCTCCTTTTCTTTCTCCTCATCTACTTCCTCAACCTTTCCTTCCTCGTCTTTCTTCTCTTCCTCTTCTTCATCATCTGAGATCTCCTTCTCAATGGTCTTCTCAACCCAAAGAGAGATCGGGTAGCTGATGAACTCAGAGTGCTTCTTGACCAAATCCTTAAGACGTCGCTCTTCAAGGTATTCCAACTGGTCTTCCTTGAGGTAAAGGGTCATCTTGGTACCCCTACCAAGGACCTCACCAGAGGTATCCCTGGTGACAGTGAAAGATCCTCCGGCCTGGGACTCCCAAACATACTGCTCATCATCATTGTGCTTTGTGACGACAACAACCTTCTCAGCAACCAAGTAAGCAGAGTAGAAACCAACACCAAACTGTCCAATCATACTGACATCGGCACCAGCAGCCAAAGCCTCCATGAACTCCTTGGTGCCAGACCTGGCAATTGTACCCAGGTTGTTGACCAAATCTGAACAAAGGAAAAGGTAACGCATAAGCATAAATACAATAAGAGAACAAAAGAAAAGAGAACTACTACCGCCGATAACAAAACTTACCAGCCTTGGTCATCCCAATACCACTGTCGATAATGGTCAAGGTGTTGTTGGTCTTGTCCGGGATGATGTGAATGAAGAGTTCAGGCTGACCATCGAGCTTGCTCTTGTCAGTCAAAGACTCAAACCTAATCTTGTCCAAAGCCTATTCACCAGAAACAAGAGAATATTAGTTAGTTTTCCATAGAGAAAACAAAACAGATTCAAACAAAATTTAAGCAGCTCAAGACTCACGTAACATAAAGTCAAACAGAAGCTAGACTTAAAACTTCGATTAGCAATTAACAACCAGAAACACTTGATTTCTGAATATACACAAGATCCCTAATACTACAGGTTCTTAATCCTAAATACTCAACAATCTACCTCAACGGCAACAGATTGATAACGTAAATCCTCTCACATAAACACACCTAGTCTCTCTACATGAGATTTCTAAACTAAAGCGACAAACGACACAGGACAAACAAGTAACATAAGAGAGATAGAGGGACGCACATCGGAAGAGTTACTGATGAGCTCACGAAGGAAGATCTCCTTGTTGCTGTAGAAAGTATTGATGATAAGGGAGAGAAGCTGATTGATCTCAGCCTGGAAGGCAAACGTCTCTACGTCCGACATCACGATCCCGGAGTTTTTCTTTTAACGATTGGGAAGTCGAAGAAGCAAAGGAAAATCGACGAAACTTAGGGTTTTTTGTTTTCTCTTTAGATTGAAAAAGAGCGAGGCTGCTTAGTGAAGGAGGAACAAGGTTTATATAGTGGGTACTCGTAGGGTTTCTAGATCCTTCCACCAGCACTGGAATAAAGAAATTTATGTGTATTTAACAAAACAAAACAAAAAAAAAAAAAAAAAAAAAAAGAAAGAGGAAAATTGAATTTAACAAAAGGAAAAAAGGAAAAATGTAAATCCTCACGCGCGTATATTTCACAACAAAATTCAGTGTGGGTCCCACAGGTCCAGCAAGTTTAACGGTGGGTGCCTCCGTAGATAATCATCTCTCACTCTTTTTCTTATCCACTATCCAAAGAAGAAGACTATTGACGACGACGGCGATGGCTATGGAGATTTCTCATCGTTTCATTGGATCATCCATGGCCTTAAGGTTTGATTCGTAAACTTCGAAAACTCGTCTTTTTGTTTTCCGTCGATTTGAGAGTTATGTCGCTGGAGATTGACTTTTTTTCTTTAGCAGCGTGGGAAAATCTAGGAACGGCGTTTCTGGGATTAGTCGTGTTGGATTATCTTCGGTTTCGGCCGTACATGTACCCAGAAGGATGTTTATGCAGCTCGTTGGGTTTGGTTCGGTCTTGACGCTTCTGGATTTTCCTGGTTTAGCGGCGCCGGTTCCTCAAATGAAGGAACCTCAAGTTATCAGGTAAAATTGGCCCTTCTCTGAGCTATCTATAACTCTCTTTGGTTTGGATTTTTATTGCTGATTATCATTGTAGACGCTGGAATTGAGGAAAATCTGTAGAAGAAAAAAAAAATTGTGTTGATTTTGTGATTATATTTCTGGTCTGCTATTCAAAATAATCTTCTATTAGATTATGAATTGCAATATTTTATGGCTTCCTGTTTAATGTGCTTGATTATTGCATTGATATGCCATGTACACAAAGAAGAAGTGGGGGATATGGGAAAGCTTCTTCGAGCTTATTTTGATTGTTCTAATTGTTGCATGGAGTTAGTTCCTCATCCTAGTTTTTTTTATTTTATTTTGGTTGGCGATCGAAGAGTGCAGGACTTTGAAGCTCCCGAGTGGCGTGAGGTTTCAAGGTACTATTCTTTCGCTAGCATTCTGTCTGTTGTTCCTTCTTATGATAACAACTATGAATTAATTTGAAACATTCAAAAACTTGTAATATTGTTAGTTTTATTTGTTACTCATAGAAGTCTTGTTTTAGAGATAATTGAAGGGGAAGGACGAGAAGCTCATGAAGGGGACCTGGTCGAACTAAACTATGTGTGTCGGCGTGCAAATGGATATTTCGTTCATAGGTGAGCTTTCATGCGAAAAGTCAGATGACTTGATAGTTTCTTTGACTCAAATTTGATCCTTGAACTCTCATCGTTTTTTGATTCAGCACGGTGGACCAATTCAGTGGTGAAAACTCTCCTGTCAAACTTATTCTTGATGAAAATGACGTACTTTGATTTTGCACTCAAAACTTTACATATAACGTAGCGATCCAATCATTGTCCGTACTAACAATTTACTTGGCATGACAGGTAATTGAGGGCTTGAAGGAAGTCTTGGTGGGCATGAAAGCCGGGGGTAAAAACATGAGATAGACAAACAAGCTTCTGGTGTTTCGATGAATCTCCTGTTTCTAATGATTCGAACATAACGCTCTTTTCCTGATGCAGGGAAGCGAAGAGCACTGATACCTCCATCAGTAGGGTACATAAACGAGACATTGAAGCCAATCCCCGAGGAGGTGCACAGATCTTTACTCTTCATCCTTCAAGATGAACTTGCTACATATGTATGTCTCTAAATGATCTCTCATGTGTTTGTGGATGCAGTTTGGACCACGACGCAGCCTTCTATCGCATGCGAACGAGCCTCTGGTCTTTGAAATCCAGCTCTTGAAAGTATTATGATATTTTTCTTCTGTCACTGTTGTTAATGAAGTATTTTGGCCGTGAGCTAGTTTAATTTCTATTGTAAATCTGTAACAACAACTACATGGAACTGTCTTATGAGTTCTGCTATAAGACGGGTTAATAGGGAATTTACCAGTTGTAAACACAAATACTGTATTGTAGTTTTAAAAAATACCACAAACTATTTAAAAATCTTTTTAAAATTCACTCGAAATGTTTAGGAAAGTTTTTTTTTTTTGGTGATTTTTTGGAAAGTTTTACATAAAGAAAGATTGTACTCCCTCTATTCCTGAAAATTTTGATGTTTTAGAGTTTATACATATATTAAGAAACAATCATGATTTAATCATTTAATAATTTTTTCCTTTTATTAAATATTTTTAATAATGTAAGAACCAATAGTAATCTAAAACAGTTTATTATTTGTAATCATTACGTCTTGAAATCTACGATTTGTTAATATCAATTAATAAAAAATAAAATAAAAAGCTAGAAAATCAATCTTTGTGGAACAAACCTAAAACACTGAACGGAGGGAGTAGTATTTTTGGTCTACATTGATTTTTTTGGAAAATCACTCGTTTTACTCGGAAAAAAATGGCAAAGCTAAGTTACTTAAGAAACGACGCCGTTCACTTCTATCGACGTAGCATCGGTTCTCTTCTTCTTCCCGAGTAAGTATTTTTTTAGCTGCGGCGTTTACTGGAAACCTTATTAAACGTCCACGAAAAATCTCCGATCGCCGGCTTTCTGGTCTTTCACTGCTTGCTTCCCCTGAAGATTTCGAAACCAAGTTAAAAAAACAATATGTCACAAGGATGGTTTTCGATGGGCGGGAGTAGCAGCGGAGATCAGCAGCAGCAGCAATCGGGTTCATCTCTGCTCGCGGATTGGAATTCTTACGCAGCCTCTAGAGATTTCGAGGAAAGTAGCGGAAGCTTCGGTTTTGATATCGAATCCGCCGTTAGATCTGCCAATGACACTGTTTCGGGCACCTTCAGTGTGTAAGTCATCATCTATCTCCTTCCCCCAAAATTCGGGGTTTTATAATGCAATTAGTCACCTCAGGGTGTTTATTTCGTGACTGAATCTGAGAAGACGAGGATTTTTGGTGGTAGTGATAAGTGAATCTGAGCCAATTGAGATTTACATTACTTTGTTGATTGTGATATGTGATAGCTTGAGAGATTCATTTATGAGTTTTGCATACCAATGGATTTAGAGTTAGTGAACAAGTCTGATGAGTTATTCATATGTTTAGTTGTTATCAGGAGTCTTCCTTTGTTTCTCTGATGGAATTCTTGTTCTTCTGTTAAATTTTGCAATGTACCTGAATTTGATGACTACAGGGTTTCAAAGGGAGTTAGAGATATCCCGGGGAGCCTGCAGTCAGCAACCAGCAGTATGCCTTCAGGAAAAGCGCTCATGTATTTCGGTTTACTTCTCGCAAGTGGTGTTTTCTTCATCTTCATTGCCTTCACAATGTTTCTTCCAGTTATGGTGCTTATGCCACAGAAATTTGCCATTTGTTTCACCCTTGGATGTGGATTTATCATTGGATCCTTCTTCGCACTTCGTGGCCCAAAAAACCAGCTCGCACACATGTCATCGATGGAGGTATGTTACACTGTTATATAGTGTGTCATGCCTTAAAACCAAGAGTGAATTCCTTCCTCTCTTTTTAATATTTGTCTACTTCTCCAGAGGCTTCCTTCAACCCTAGGTTTCATTGCCACCATGGTTGGTACCATATATGTATCGATGGTTCTCCACAGCTACATTCTCTCGGTGCTCTTCTCTGTGTTACAGGTACTAAACATTTCATCTTCCAACCCTTTGGATATTCCCTTTATTTTCTGAGTTTTAAGTTTTTCAAAATGAGATATTCCTATAGCAAGTGTAAAACAAGATTGAACTTCACCAAAGTATTTAAGATCATATAGTAATTCCCCTCATCTCCACTGTTTAGCGACAAACATTAGACTCTCGAACAAGTGGTGATACATATCTGGTTCTCCGCTCGTTATCTATTTTGACTGTAGAAAATATACTTGTATAGGTTTAAGAAATTGTGCTTGCAAAATCCGCGCATTCTACTGAATCTCATAATTTCTGGAATCTGTTTCTTTTTGTGCTAATGGACAGGTTCTTGCACTGGTTTATTACTGTATATCCTACTTCCCTGGTGGATCATCCGGCATGAGGTTCCTCAGTTCTGCTCTCACCTCATCGGCGTTAAGAGTTTTCGGGAGATGAGCTTTCACAGCCAATCTGGGAGAGGGAACAATACTTTACTTGTTGGTGTACAAAGAAAGATGTCAGAGCGTTTTTGGTATACTCTTTAACATAGATTTGAATGAAAACCCCCGAAAAGACAAATGATCGTGAAGGAAATGTTTAATGAAGAACCCAAGTGATGTTATCACTATCTTTTTCGTACTTCTTTTTTAGTTGCTGGTGATTTCCGAAACCAAAACGAAAAAAAATCCATAATACAATCATAAATAAACCAAGAAATGTCAAAATGAGTTTCCTGGTTCCCAAGCAGACTGGTGTTTTGACTGATTCGTTTCCCAAAATGTGTTAGCTAAATTCTGATAGGTGACAATGTGAAACCCTAGGGGTCTAGGCAGTAACAAATTGTCTTGCAAAAGAAATTTAGATTAGATTATCCCGATGAAGATCATCAAGTGCTCACAATATCAATAAGACGTGTGTATGTTGCTCTACTTTATTACTGCTGAGCAAATATATGCAACATAAATTTTGGTTGGCCCAGTAATAATGCCCGATAAAAGATTGTTTGGCTCTTTAAACTGGGACCATCAGTCAAAAGCAGTGTGTTTAGGACTATCTTTAGTAAAAGATTATCAATGATGCATAATTATGTATTGATCATTATTTATTTTTATCAATAACATGCAATACTCGGAAAAAAAAATTGAGTGGTAACACATCGACGTACGATAATCAAAGTCAAATGGAAAATTTGAAATTTTTTCATCTATAACTTTTTTTTTTTTTTTTATTATATGACAAATAATGAATTTTATCATTCAATGGCACATGGTTGTTTCACAACGGACTGTTTTACTTTTACCTGTCCAAAGATCCATGACATATGTTTCTACTCTTATCATGTTTACGATAGAAGTTTTTTAGTCGTATCACATTGAACCACAACCAAAGGCTCTGCCTCTACATATATCACGCGAAATGTCTTTGATAAGAATGCTAAAGAAACTTCCACTTGAAAACGAAAATTTTCAAGTGTTTGTTTGTTTGTTTTGGTGTGCGATAGTGGTAAGAAAATAATACTACTATAATTCTTGATCTATTTGTTTATCTTGGTGTTGGGGTATAATGCTTAGTGAGCGGGAAACCCAATTCCTGAAAATACGGAAACAATGGAGCAGGAACATTTGACCTCTAATGTACACCTTACACTACACGTATTGTTTCTGCTATTTATTTGAAAACTAAACTTTTGAGAGAGAGAAAATATATATTAGTTGAAAGGAAAAGCTCATCTTCTCCACTAAGAATTTGTGTTAGTTAAAAAGACAACATTATTGTTTTAATCAGCACTTCAAATGTTAGTACTATATCATATCGCTTTCTCTTTCTCACATATACAAATCCGTGCAGTCGTGCAACATTTAAATTAAAAGAACTAGAAAAGGTCTTTTAAAAGGCTGAGGTCTTAATAAAAAAAGTTCATGGTTAGGCAAAAATCTAAAAGAAAAAGAAAAAAGGAGAAATTCAAGCGGAAAGTTGGAAAACAAAGCTTAATATATTAGTAAAGATTAACTAAAACATTGAAAATATATTTGCAATTGTCGGTATTGATCATTGCATGGGGATATGATAATGCAATATTTAAAGTTAAAACCAAATTCGATCTATTGAAACCAGGCAAAAGCAAAAGATTAAATTCATCTATATACACAATATTTACACATTAAATTTAGAATTCACTGGATCAAGAGACATACAAAACACATATAGATAGTTTTGGATGAAATGCCCACTTCTGTTCACACTTCTGCACTACTGCCAATACATACTTGGACTGCTTCTGCCGCTAAATTCCCACCACAAGGGACCATTTCTTTTAGTAGACAAAACAAGTTAAATCGGATTGAAAAGTATACAGACAAAACCGTCTACTATAGAAATAATTAACCCATATCATACTAATATTCTAGATTGGATCCAACACCCTTAATTAATTATTCTCACTTACTTAGAGCAGATCGATCAAGCCACTTAATTAACAAAGCTTAATTAACCACTTTTCTATGTACTCTCTCCCTCTCTCTCATGTGATGAGATCTCTGACCTAATTGAATCGTGATTAGATCTAGATCTTGTTACATTGTCTTCGTCAATTATCCGCACTAAAACTTTTCCTTGTTATTTTACACTTTTAATTAGTCTCCTCATCAGATTTTCATACGTTATAACAAATATTTCATCTTCTGTACTAATAAAGAGTACCCACCCATAAACTATTTTTTCATACACAAATGTCTTAACGTGAAGTTTCATATCCAACCACTGTCTAAAGTGTTTTGTAACGTTAACTTTCACTATTAGATACTCATCGATGTTGACCTATGTAATCATATAGTAGTAGTTATATAAATGATAATTGGTGTAGAGAATTTAGGAATAATGTTCGGATGGAAGGGTGTTGTCACCCAACAAAGAGAGGGACCATTAATAACCGATAATCATAATAAGATTTGTGAAAGAAATGTTTCACTGATTTGGCAGAAGTACAGTTGGAGGTGCTTTGTCTTTTCTCTTCTGCACCTTTTGTTCTCTTTACTTCCTTCTTGTTTGTTAGTTTTTGTTCTTTTCTTTTTTCTCCCTACCATGGACCATTACCATTCATTTCTCTCTTTATCATATATTATTTGCTGTATTTAGTTGATTTTATCATATCCTTTTTAATAATTGTGTACATATAACAACGACTTCTATCGATTTTACTCAGTTAAACCATACAAACGAAAACGAAACCAGAAACCATAATTTTGTTTTTGATTTGTTTAACGTTTAGGATCAACGTGAGAGAAAGTCGTTGTAAATATATATGGGCCGACGATACGGCTGCTTGAGAAAAATAGATGTTGTATAATCCCAGTTTTAAGTGAATGTTAAGGCAATTAGAGTAACCATAATTAAATATTCAATTAATATTGTAGGGAACGACTTTTTATTTATTCACATGCACATGACCTCTATATGTCATGTGCCTTAAGTTGCCGTGTTCGATCTTTTTATAATTTGTTCGACCCGTTACCCTAAATTTTAAATTATTTCTATTTTTTTTATTATTATGTCCAAATCTGATTTCCTTTTCAAGTCTGTTTCATATGTATATATATAACTCATTTTAATTAGATGGCAATTTTGAAAAATAAAAATCCTTTGAAAATTAAAGACCGACAAGATGAGCAAGGGACATGGTTGTAAACTAATTATTTCTTTAATTAATCAGTCACAAAAATTCCTAGCTTGCATGTGCAATTTCACTCTCTAAGATTCCATGTTTTACTTCAACTTTATTAGTTTATGATACATCAAAGACATTTGTTAAAAAAAAAAATGGTATTATCAAAGACCCAAAGTAGATGACCTGTATTCTTTATTTTATCTCTTATGCTGATAAATAATTAAAATTTAACCATTATTTACCCACTTCTGAATTCTGGTTAACTACTGAACAGAAACACTTTTTATCGTGGCTTTAATTGGTTAAAATGATCGGTGCGTTTAATGTGTTAAGAATTCGTTGAACACTTTAACACATTATTAAACCAAAAAGAAGCATTAAAGTTCATCGTGCCGCTTCTAAGATCCACAAGTTTTGTTTCTTGTTCGTGGTGAATGTTTGCAGCCATATTTGGGGAATACTATTTTCATTATAATTAACGCTTTTTTTTAAAAAAAATGTATGTAAATAGTACTTATGATGTAAAGATTAGTTATTTAAAGAAGAAAAAATTGTAATGCTCGGTCTAACTCTTAAAAAAAAAAAACTGTTTGAATGTGATTAAACCTTTCGTATCAATTTGATATAGTTTAATGGTAAAACTGGCACACATGGAACAAGACCTATATATGATCGCAACCTTTTATCGGAGTGAAGAACACTTGTCGCTCACATGTTATAAGATCATGATACGAACACGATGCTCTCTAATTAATGGATTTGAGTGAAATTTCTACAAAATCATGCAAATATCGTGAAGGCAATTTAAATATAGCAACGTAAAAGATGGCTATTTGACATGTCGGTCTCAAAACCATGAAAGTTGGTGCCACTGTAAGGGCATCCACAATGGTAAAAGTGGATGAGTGTGTGTTAGTGGAGTTTTATTAATAAAATAATGTAAGGGTTGAAGTTTAGAAACTTGGTGTTATCCACAATGGTAAAAGTGGATGGGTGTGTGTTAGTGGAGTTTTATTAATAAAATAATGTAAGAGTTGAAGTTTAGAAACTTGGTGTTATAGGTAGAACCTGTTTCTTAGTAATAGTTTAATAATATAATTAAGTAATTCATAAAACATTTTTTTTAAATTAAAAATAACAATTAAATTTTAAACATAAAAACAAACAAACATGTACTTAAAACACACAAACATTTTATTTAATTAATACAAAATTTAAAAACTTTAATCATCATTTGGAAGATGTCCAAATTTAGCCCATAAATGCTCAATCAAATCCTCTTTTAATTGGTGATGTGCTTGTCGATCACGAATTCTTGTGTGACTATCACCAAAACCGTCGAGATTGGTAGGCATATTGACTGAACCTTTAAAAACGGGGATGGTTTCCGTTTCTTCTCCTTGGTCTAATTCTTCTTCGAGAGTGTATGAATGTCGTTCATTTTCGACAATCATATTATGGAGTATGAGACATGCTCTCATAATGTATGCTAATTTACCTTTCTTCCATAAAAGAGCTGGATTTTTAATCATGGCGAATCTAGCTTGCAGGACTCCAAATGCACGTTCAACATCTTTCCGTGCACCTTCTTGACGTTTTGCAAACAATCTATGTTTGGGGTGTTGTGGTCCTGGGATGGATTTAACAAATGTCGCCCACTCGGGATAAATCCCATCCGTAAGATAGTAAGCCAAATTATACTCCCTTCCGTTGACATAGTAGCTCACTTCAGGAGCTCGACCGTGAATAATGTCATTAAATACTGGGGATTGATCAAGAACATTTAAATCGTTACAAGTACCTGGCGCTCCAAAAAACGCGTGCCATATCCAGAGATCTTGTGAAGCTACCGCCTCCAAAACAATTGTTGGTTTTCCGGTTCCTCTTGAATACATTCCTTTCAAAGCGGTTGGGCAATTCTTCCACCTCCAATGCATACAGTCGATGCTTCCAACCATCCCTGGAAAACCGCGGTGTTCTCCAATAAAGAGTAACCTTTGAAGATCCTCTAGTGTGGGTCGTCGTAGGTATTCAGTGCCGAACAAGTCAACTATTCCGACAACAAAATGTAATAAACATTCCCGAGCCGTCGTTTCACCAAGTCGTACATACTCGTCAATTGAGTCTGCCGAACACCCATATGCTAATAGTCGAATTGCTGCAGTACATTTTTGTAGCGGTGATAACCCATCTCGGAAGGTTGCATCTTTTTTTGGTTTAAAATACATAACTTCTTCAGTGAGACGATTGACAATACGCAAGAACAAGGACTTGTTCATTCGAAATCGTCTGCGAAATAGCGTCTCCGTGTACCTCGGATTATCACAGAAATAATCGGCCATCAACTGCTTGTGCCCTTCTTCCCGATTTCTATCGATGTATGTACGTTTATCCCTTTCGACCGGAATATCCTCTTCAGTAGTATCACATAGATTATCGAATTGTTCTTGAAGATATTGGTCAAATTCATCATTATGAGAGTCATAATGATAATGAAAATTATTTGAAGAAGATGCCATAAAAACCGAAAAAAAAAAAAGAAAGAGTGTTCGTAGGAGACACTTGAATTTTAGGACGAGATACTTGTTTTTTTGGATATAATCAACTTGAAATATAAAGAAGATAAGGGAATGGGTTTGTGAGAGAATTGTCTGTGCGATCGTCAAAGGAAAGACATACATATATATAGGAAATGAAGTGTTGTGTCAATTATTTGATATTTTGGTAACCCGTGACTTCTTTATCAATTGCGACAAGTTAAACCGTGACACAAAAATCCAACGTGAATTTATGTAATACAAAAACTCAAGTATACCCGTGATACAAAACACCAAAATGATTGGTTTCGGGAAAACACATGGGAAAACATAGATAGATATGATCTAGAGAAGTTGTACGATTGATGCCATACAAAATATTAATCTTACATGGATTAAATTGTCCGAACTTAAATGATTGTAAATTACAAAAAATAACGTATTTATAATCAATTATAATATTTTTCTTAAAATATGTAAAAATTCTAAAAAATACATCATTTAGAAACAGAAAAAGTATAAAATTATAATGTTGGTCTTGGTTGGGATAATTATTAATCGCATGATTCACATAGTTAGAACAAATGTTCTATTTATCTAAGTTAGAGGTCAAATGTTATTCTTAATTTCTCATAGATAGATATGATCCGAGACTAAACCCATGTCTTCTTCAACCTGAAACCAAAAACACATGGGAAAACAAGTTAGATATGTGATAATACAAGACATATGTTTTCTGAATACTTACTTAAAACAAGACAAAGACATAAGAAATTGATTCATATAGAGAACTTGGTTTAAAACAGCAAACACAGAAGGTACAAACTTAGTTAATAAAACATAGATATTGATTCATACATCATTAAAACAACACAAATTGATCTTGATTCATACATCATTAAAACAGGAAATAGTGCATAAATAAACTTGAAATCTAAAGAGAATTGTAAACTTCAGCAATTAGCTTCTTCTTAAGAGCTATTTCCTCTTCATCAAGTGTTTCCTTCTTGGCAATCAGTGTGTCAAGAAGGGACATCTGTTGGAGCTGTTTCTTTAGCTCCATATCCTTCTGCTTGGCCTCCAAGATTTTGTTATCCTCTGCAGGTGGTGCAGCCTTCTCTTTACCCTTCTTCCTCAATTTCTTCATTGCTTTAATACCCGGAGGCCTACTCACTTCCTCACCTATAGTAGATCCAACAGATGGTGAAGCATCATCAGCCTTTCTTTTGTTGCTGGTTGTCTTGCTAGTAGGATTCATATCAATCCAACTACACCATTTAGGTTCATATCTTAGAACTGTCCAGGCATGCTCAAGCGTGAACTTCTTCTTGTTGTTGTTTTTTGAGTAGGTTTGGTGAGCCAACTGCAGAATGTCATTATCATTTTGACCACTAGCTTTCGCGTCCAATGCAAAAGCATATGCTCCGCAGAACTTGCTCACATCTCGACTTATTTTGCCCCACCTTTGCTTACAACTGTCACTGTCTCTTGGCTCAGCTCCTTTGCGTACATGGTCACTTGAAGCATAGTACTCAGTTATACGCCTCCAAAAGGTTCCTGACCTTTGGTCATTGCCTACAATAACATCCTTCGATGTGTTAAGCCACCCACTGATGAGGACCAAGTCATCTGGGTTTGACCATAGCCTTTTAGCCCTACGGTCAAGTGCTGATTCTTCAGGTTGAGTTTGAGCATGAGCCGGTTCAGAACTAAATGAAAGGATTTCAGGGTGACTTGGCACAAGAGACGGCTGTGAACTAAAAGAAGGGATTTCTGAAGCTCCAGCAAGAGAAAATGAATGATAAGGAAAGTTTTGAAGGCTAACATAGGAACCGGGAGACTGATTGTATGGACCATTATGTGAATCCATATCAATCACTAAAGAAAAGAGATGAAAGAAGAGATGGAAGATGGTAAAACAGATTGGTTTGGAAAGAATAATGTGCAAAGAAGAGATAATTAGAAGATTGTTTAAAAGGAGAAGTGGTTTAGTAGTAAGTGTTTAGGTAACTATCAACTACCAAAGTCAAATCAGGTGTAAATACAATTTACACCAACTCAGCTACCAAGTACCACAAACCAGATTCATTCAATTAAAAGTATAAATGGTTAACTTTTCAGTTATGACAGAAACTGAAACAAGACCATTACCACTCATATCACAGAAACCACACAAAGAACCACTGCAAACATTTACACCAGCTGGTCCAACTACTAGTTGTCTATTGCATTAACTAAATGGAGTCTTAGACATACCTTTTTTGTTTTCAGTTAGTCGTGGTAGTAGTTGTTGCTTTCCAGATTAAAGTTTCCCTGCTTAACTCACCTAGCAACCTCAGAAAGAAAGCAAAATCAAAGTTCAGGTTCACTAACAGAGAAATATAACTGAATCAAAACTTGATGAACCAAAAATTTTGCAAACCCGACATACTCTATTCACATAATCTACAAAATATAACTTTAATCTACCCTAAAACAGATATCATGAAACATATCAGTTTACATTACATCTCAAACCCGAAATTCTCATAAGAAAATCATTTCGTCTCCTATATTTCTTCATCACTACCTCACTAATCATAACAAAAGCAACAGCTCTTCGGATTCAACAACCAAATGCTATTTATAACACAAAGTTGATGACGATTTACCTAATGTGTATCGCCGGAGACAGAGGACGCGATGAGACCCAGAGGAGACGAAAGGATTTGGGGTTTTTTGGAACAGATTCTTAGTAATTGAAAGCATGGAATGCTTGAATCGTCGAATAGAGATCGATTTTCGGGTAGTTTGGTCGGAATCAGCTTCAAATTTGATGAAGAATTACCTAATGTATTTCGCCAGAGACAGAGGAGGAGATGAGACACAGAGGAGACGAGGCGATTTGGGGTTTTTTAGAACAGATTCTTACAAATTCAAAGCAGAGAAGGAATAAATCAAAGAGAAGAGATCGATTTTGGGGTTGTTTAGTCGGAAAACGGCTAGAAATCGGACTGAAATCGGCCGTCGCTTTCTCGGTTGAAGATTGGGTCTCGAGAGAGAACAGAGACCAAACACTAGAACCCCTTTTTTCCCAAATGAAATTAATTCAGTAATTACAAAAATTCTCCCCCAACCAGACACTGCCACGTCATCGGTACACCCGATTGTAACTTAACACCCGAGTTTCGGATCTAAGCCAACATTTGCATTTTTTTTCCCTTTTTTTATTCTAACACTCGACGACTTACACCCGGAGAATTAGTCCACTGCGTATGGTCTAAGAGGGCTATTGTTGTGACATGTCATTCTCGATTCTCAGATTTCGATTTTCATATAAATTATAACATATTATTTTTGTTGCAGACTTTTAATATTTGATTATTTTCTTACTTGCAAAATCGTGGTGGTCGGCCATAATATGTTTTTCCTAAAAGAAAAAGTTTTGATCTACACAAGGTAGTTCAATTCCTTGAAACCTATATTTTAGTTTTGTCAAATCCAAATTTGAGTAACATTTCAAAATTTATAAAGAATGTTTGGGGTGAAATAGTTATCGTTATTTTAAAAAAAAAATCTGCCTAGTCTCAATACATTAGATTGTGATTTTCCGTGACAAAAAATGCTTTTATATTTATTATTTAACAAAAATCAAAAACAAAAGATTAAAATAATATGCACTACTTTTTTGGGATCAAAAACCTTCCTTTGCTACTTCTCTCTGCTCTGTGTTTATTTATATATTTCCTATAAACAAAATAAAACCAAAATCAATGGATTGGTTCTTCGCTTTACAATCCCAACGCACTTCTATCATTCTTCTTCCTCATCTTCGTCTTCTCCGATGCCACCAAATATCTACAGACTCTCCTTCTTCTTATCCCTACTCTGTTTCTTCTTCATTCCCTGTTTCTTCTCTCTCGACGAACAAGGTCAAGCTCTTTTGGCATGGAAGTCTCAACTGAACATCTCCGGCGACGCTTTTTCCTCCTGGCACGTCGCCGACACATCTCCCTGCAACTGGGTCGGCGTAAAATGTAACCGTAGAGGTGAAGTTTCGGAGATACAACTCAAAGGCATGGACTTGCAAGGTTCTCTGCCGGTGACTAGTCTCCGGAGCCTCAAGTCTCTTACTTCCCTCACTTTATCTTCACTCAATCTTACCGGAGTAATCCCCAAGGAGATAGGAGACTTTATTGAGCTTGAATTACTCGATTTATCGGATAATTCTCTCTCAGGCGATATCCCTGTGGAAATCTTCAGGCTCAAGAAACTCAAGACTCTGTCTTTGAACACTAACAATCTCGAAGGTCGGATTCCGATGGAGATTGGGAATCTTTCGGGTCTCCTAGAGCTTATGCTTTTCGATAACAAGCTATCCGGAGAGATCCCGAGGAGTATCGGAGAGCTCAAGAATCTACAAGTCTTTCGTGCTGGTGGGAACAAGAATCTAAGAGGTGAGCTACCTTGGGAGATAGGTAACTGCGAGAATCTTGTAATGCTTGGTCTCGCTGAGACTAGTCTCTCCGGTAGACTTCCGGCGTCGATAGGAAACTTGAAACGTGTTCAGACAATAGCAATATATACGTCACTGTTGTCTGGTCCAATTCCGGATGAGATTGGATACTGTACGGAGCTCCAAAACCTCTACTTGTACCAGAACTCGATCTCCGGATCGATTCCTAACACCATTGGAGGTTTAAAGAAGCTGCAAAGTCTACTCTTATGGCAGAACAATCTTGTTGGGAAAATGCCTTCAGAGCTCGGGAACTGTCCCGAACTCTGGCTTATCGATTTATCCGAAAATCTTCTCACCGGGAACATCCCGAGAAGCTTTGGAAAACTTGAGAATCTACAAGAGCTTCAGCTGAGTGTAAACCAGATCTCAGGAACAATCCCTGAAGAGCTAGCGAATTGCACGAAGCTTACGCATTTAGAGATCGACAATAACCTTATTTCCGGAGAGATTCCGTCATTGATGAGTAACCTAAGAAGCTTAACGATGTTCTTCGCGTGGCAGAACAAGTTAACCGGAAGCATCCCACAGAGTCTCTCCCAGTGTCGTGAGCTTCAAGCCATCGATCTCTCTTACAACAGTCTCTCTGGTTCTATCCCAAAAGAGATTTTTGGGTTACGAAACCTCACGAAGCTTCTACTTCTCTCCAATGATTTGTCAGGTTTCATACCGCCGGATATTGGAAACTGTACGAATCTTTACCGGTTGAGACTCAACGGAAACAGGATCGCCGGAAGTATCCCGCCGGAAATCGGGAACCTGAAAAATCTCAACTTTGTTGATATAAGTGAGAACCGTCTCGTCGGGACAATCCCTCCAGCGATCTATGGTTGTAAAAGCCTCGAGTTTCTCGATCTTCACTCGAACAGTCTCTCCGGTTCATTGCTCGGCACACTCCCAAAAAGCTTGAAGTTCATCGATTTTTCTGATAATTCTCTGTCTGGTCCTCTGCCTCCGGGAATAGGATTGTTGACAGAACTTACGAAGCTCAATCTCGCCAAGAACCGATTCTCCGGCGAAATCCCTAGACAAATCTCCACTTGTCGGAGTCTACAGCTTCTTAATCTCGGCGAAAATGCATTCTCCGGTGAAATCCCAGACGAATTGGGTCAAATCCCGTCTCTGGCAATCTCTCTTAATCTCAGCTGCAATGGGTTCGTCGGGGAAATCCCGTCGAGATTCTCCGACTTGAAAAACCTCGGAGTGCTCGACATCTCTCACAACCAACTCACCGGAAACTTAATCGTTTTAAGGGATTTGCAAAATCTCGTCTCTCTCAACGTCTCCTTCAACGATTTCTCCGGCGATTTACCAAATACTCCCTTTTTCCGGAGACTTCCACTCTCTGATCTCGCCTCAAACAAAGGGCTTTACATTTCTAATGCAATTTCGACCCGATCCGACCCGACGACCCGGAACAGTTCCGTCGTTAAATTGACCATTTTAATTCTCATCGTCGTCACTGCCGTACTCGTGCTCCTGGCGGTTTACACTCTAGTCCGGGCACGAGCCGCCGGAAAACAACTCCTCGGAGAAGAAATAGATTCGTGGGAAGTGACTCTTTACCAAAAACTCGATTTTTCCATCGACGACATAGTTAAGAATCTGACGTCAGCAAACGTGATCGGAACTGGAAGCTCCGGTGTGGTTTACCGTATAACGATTCCCTCCGGCGAGTCTCTGGCGGTGAAGAAAATGTGGTCGAAGGAAGAGAGTGGTGCGTTTAATTCCGAGATCAAAACTTTGGGATCGATTCGTCACAGGAACATTGTTCGTCTTCTTGGTTGGTGCTCTAATCGGAATCTGAAACTCCTGTTCTACGACTATCTCCCTAACGGTAGCCTGAGTTCTCGGCTTCACGGCGCCGGAAAAGGAGGAGGTGTTGATTGGGAGGCTCGATACGACGTCGTTCTTGGTGTGGCCCATGCACTTGCTTATCTCCACCATGATTGTCTCCCCACAATTATACACGGTGACGTTAAAGCTATGAATGTCTTATTGGGTCCTCACTTCGAACCCTACTTAGCTGATTTCGGTTTAGCTAGAACCGTTTCCGGTTATCCAAATACCGGAATTGATTTGTCAAAACGCACCAATCGGCCTCCCTTGGCTGGTTCATATGGTTACATGGCACCGGGTAAGCTCGAGAAAGTACTTTATACTCGTAACTATAAGTTGGGAGTTTTGGAATTTTGATTTTGATTTGTTTTGTTTGTTTTTTTTTTACAGAACATGCTTCGATGCAACGTATAACCGAGAAGAGTGATGTTTATAGTTACGGAGTGGTATTGTTAGAGGTTTTAACCGGAAAGCATCCGTTAGATCCGGATCTACCAGGAGGTGCACATTTGGTTAAGTGGGTGAGAGATCACTTGGCTGAGAAAAAAGATCCGAGCATGCTTCTTGACTCGAGACTCAATGGGCGGACTGACTCGATAATGCACGAGATGCTTCAAACTCTTGCGGTTGCGTTCCTGTGTGTGAGCAACAAGGCAAACGAACGGCCTTTGATGAAAGATGTTGTGGCAATGCTCACGGAGATAAGGCACATTGATGTTGGACGATTGGAGACCGATAAGATCAAAACTGGTGGTTGCGGAAGCAAAGAGCCACAACAATTAATGTCGACTGAGAAAATCATCAATTCTCACGGTTCGTCTAATTGTTCATTTGCGTTTTCGGATGACTCCGTTTAAAAAAAAAACAGTAAAAAATGTAAACTGTCTGAGCTATTGCTTACAAAGCTGTGTGAATATGCTTTTATTGGAGCTTTAAATTTTTTGAAAGTTTTTGTATAATCAATTACAACTACAGTTGCACTAGATTTTAGTGATTTATTCCTGTATTCTTGATTTCCAAAACGTTAACAGTCGTAAAACAAGTTAATGGGAAGAGAATGCATACCAATTTTGGGGGATAGAAATCTCATTAAAATGTCGAACAAAATGTCGTGAAATGAAAATATACTTGGTACTAAAATCAAAAAGTTCTCTATTATCTTTAACCCCTCTTTTCTGTTTTTGTTCTTTGGGTTAACATCTAATTGCCTTTTCATTTTCTCTGCTATCATTTTTTGTGTGTTTTTTCAGGATAAGCATTAAGGAATATATATCTGTATACATTACATATAGATATATTATTGGATTTATGGATGAATTTTTTTTCCTTGTCAAACTGATTATAAATATCTTTTTGATATAAATAACTACCTTATTCATTATCAAAGAAATGTTCAGTTTTGGTCCACCGTTTCTAGATAAAAAGATTAGAACAAGTCATTGTTAAATACATGTGACGATTCCAATATACTTACTCACTTGTCCTATATTGCTAATAAATTAGTTATAATCGAAGGTAATTCGAGAAACAAGTTGTATATTTTGCAAGCCATGTCAAAACTCGAATATGACATGAAATATGTGAGTTTAAGATCTTCGACTGTGAGCAGATAAACGGAAGTTTGAATGAATTTATTGTTTCCTAAAGCTTGTGATGCCCCAATGTTAATTAGAGTGGTTACTGCGATCTTGGATTTTAATTGATGTTTCATATCTTTGGATGACCAGTTGAGCTACCATGTTGATATTCCATAACGACTCTATTTGATTTAAGTGATAGAAGGTGATTAGAGTATGTGAGTTTTATCATTTTTGTTAATGTTGTTTATATCTTTGTTTGGATTGTTTATTAACATATATGCAACTCAATATAATCTATTTTATAGAAGAATGACCGATTGGGACTGGAGTATTTGGAGGCACACGCGATAAAGATTCGTATTTTGTTTTGTGTTTTGGTTGTTTGTTAATATTAATGGTTTGTGAAATCACGAAGAAGAAGAAGAAGAGAGGCTTAAGACAGAAGCGAATGGATCACGTGGACCCTTGAGCCGCCCTCATCACATGTGCTGTCTCAATAACAATGACTTCGACTTTCCAGCCAAAATAACACCATTTTTTTGTTTTTGTACGATAATTTTAAGCGTAATTGTTTCTTCATCAATCTTGTTCACATGATAAGATAATGTTGCACAAGCCTTAATCCATGGCCATCTATGTTGTAAGAGCATTAGCCTGATCCCTAATATTATGATATGAAAAGAATGCAAACATTAGGGTTTATAACCAAACTACTTTGAGGGAATTCTTAAAATTATAATTATCAAGTAAAAATATCTCTCCTTCGGACACTGGGTTTTTTTTTTTTTTTTTGTTTGATTTTGGTAATTAAGAAGAAGACAGACTTCCCTTGTGGGACCCACTGAGGGATACTACCGAACTTTTGAACGAAGCCGTTATGTCATGGCGCGAAAATATTATAGAAACCATCGCAAAAACACAACACAGTTTAAGAACATTACAAAGTCGCTAAACCAAATCGATAAACATTTAAACAGTTAAACGCCCACGAAACATTTGACATATACTCAAACCGTATAAAAGGTGACACCCGTATTAAACGCTCCTAATACTTGTATCCTTTCACATACAAGCTCTCAGAGGCGGCCGAGTCAGCGGAAGCCCCGCCGGTGTATTTCCCGAGGGTAGCGTCCGAGTTAGCCTTGCACCTTGTCAGGAAAGTGGCCTGAGCTTTGGCTAAGTTCTCGGTCTTACCGGCCCAAGCCTTGAGAGTGCTTTGTTGGAGGGCTCGTCCAAAAGAGAAAGTCAGCGTCCATGGCTTCAATACGTCAAGCTTGTTCATTGCGTTCAGATTTTGTGTTGCTTCCTCTTCACTCTGTCCGCCTGAGAGGAACAAGATTCCTGGAACCGCTGGTGGGACTGTGCGGCGCAGAGCAGTCACTGTGTATTCCGCTATCACTTCAGGTGCAACCTGTTAGAAGAATAGTTTTAGATTTAAGTCTCTATGATTCATTTGATTGTGGTTCCATAAGGAGTGGGCATATAATCCTTGATAAAATTGCATCAAACGATCTTATACCAAATCAAATTATAACTAATTTTTCTTGGTTTCAGTTTTGATAAAAAAACGAATATATAGGAAAAAAAACTGAACCAAAAAACAAACTGGATTGCCCACACTAATAATTTCGTTACCTTTGGGCTGTCAGAGCCGGGAGTGACCATGTTCGGTTTAAGCAGAGTGCCTTCGAGGAGGACATGGTGGTCGTTCAAGGCCTTGTACACGGCAGCAAGAACTGTCTCCGTCACCGCCGCACATTTCTTGATGTCATGGCTCCCGTCGGTCAGTACCTCTGGCTCGACGATCGGGACCAGTCCGTTCTCCTGGCAGATGATGGCATAGCGGGCTAGCCCCTTGGCGTTCTCTTGGATAGAGAGCTCGCTTGGCTCGGTGGCCCCAATCTTGAGGACTGCACGCCATTTTGCAAACCGGGCTCCTGCCTTGTAATACTCCTGGCAACGTGCACCAAGCGAATCTAGACCCTGAGTAGTGGTCTCGCCGTTGGTCCCTGCTAGATCAACCACACCCTTGTCCACTTTGATTCCAGGGATAACTCCGTTCTCCTGATACCAAAAAAAGAATCAGAATTCAAATTGAAACCGTAAGTTCCATTTGAGTCATATCAAGAGCTCCACTTCTGCAACACTTGAACACCAATGATTAAGACTAGAGCTGGAGTTTGGTTTTTCAGGGACGGACCATGAGGAGATCAACAAAGGGTTTGCCATCAGAGGTTTTCTGGTAGAGGGTTTCCTCAAAAAGGATAACACCAGAGAGGCAAGGGAAAGCGCCAGGGGAAGTGAAGAGGAGCTCACGGAGAGCTTGGCGGTTGGACTCAACGTTCTCGACATTGATGCTGGCGAATCGTTTCCCGATGGTTCCTGTGCTCTCGTCTGCCGCCAAAATGCCCTTTCCCGGTGTTGCAATGTACTTAGCCGTCTTAATCAGCTCATCTGAACTCAGAAAGCACATTAAAGAGAGAACCTGAAGAGACTGGAACACGAAGAGTTATACAACAAGAAGAGTGTATGTACCTGCGTATTTGCCGACAAAAGCAGACATGGTTGCTTTTTGGAGTGCAAGAGAGACGAGTTTTACTGAAGAGGACGAGGAAGCCAAGACAAAGCCTTAAGTACCTGCAACTTTTGAGAATATATAGGTAATATCTACGAGGAATATACTATTAGCATTTGTCATACGTGTCGGAAGGAGAGCCCGAGGAAGATTATCAACCTCCGATAAAGCAAATGAGTGATTGCTTCTACACTACCAAATGGCAACCAATGATCCCAGCTTTATCCCCAAAGTCTTGGATATGTGGAGAAGAGAAAGAGATAGGTACAAAACAAAAGCAGAGTGTTTTGTATAGTACCTCTCTCACACACTTCAACCACACGAGTGTGCGTGCAACCAAAACTTACAAACACAAGAGATATTTTGGATAATGAAGACAAATGTATTTTTTTTTTTTTCATTTTGTCATCATCGGCCCAGTAGCCATATACCTCCCACTAGGGAGAGAGAGACTAGGTTTGAACCTGGATTCATGAGATGACAACAGGAGGGGGTGATGTATTATGCTTAATTATGGGGTATCAAGGGTTCCAAGGATATTTATATATGGCACACGACACAATAGTTGTTATGGAGTATCAAGAGTTCCAAGGATAATTATATATGGTACACCGAATCCCGGGTTCGATCAACCCGCACTTGGGCATTTATAAATAAACAGAACTGTTCCCAAGAACTTGAGGGGGTTTAAGTGGGAAAACCAACAAAGTTGAAGGTGATTCCTTTGATAGTTTGTGTAGCCGTTGTTGTGGATAGAATGGTGAATGAATCAATAAACTGCTAGGCAGGACATGGAAGGGACAACTAATGCTGCAGGACCACAGTGGCCTAGTCATCGCCTGTGCCAAAATATCGGTCCCCAAACTCTCCCATACCAGGAATTACAACTCTTCCTTAATCCATTATCGATTTCAGATGTCACTATCTTTATTCTTGGGAATTTTCGCAGACCACATGAACATCTTGAGGTGCCTGATTGAACAAAGAAGAAAAAATATCGCAATTCAGCTGCATTATTGTGGATAAACATGGATAAGAAGTAACCACAAGGGGTGTGTGTTAGCTTACTGAGATAAGGTTTAGAAGTATGATGTTTCCCTCAAGTACGCCCTTGTTTATAAGAAGGTTGATAGCTTCAGCCGCTGAGTTTCCGGACAAGATCATGTTCAATTTCAGCAGGTGTCACTAAGCACGTCTTCAAGTGTGTTGAATTGGCAAACAGTGTGCAGTAGAGCAAAGAGAAAAATATCTGGTAATGATTGTCCTTAAACAAATTTTATACGTACAATAAAAACATTTTTTTTGCTTTTCAAAACGTGAATCTCACATGGATATTGCTGTATGTATTTAGGTGTGGAAGACCTTTACCAGTTGCTTTTCTGGTTGCTAAATCAAAATTAAATCTTTTTAATTTAGTTTAATCAACTCTGACGGATTAGCATGTATAGCTTGACAGTAACTGGAAAAATAACAATTATTAGCAATTTGCAAAACTGAACATTCGAACAGTTACAACACCAACGAAACATTAGACATATACTCAAACCGCATCAAAGGTGAACGCCCGTTCTCAAACAATCCTAGTACCTGTATCCTATCACAACCAAGCTCTCGGAGGCGGCCGAATCACCAGAAGCCCAGCCGGTGTATTTCCCGAGGGTAGCGTCCGAGTTAGCCTTGCACCTGGTCAGGAACTTGGCCTGAGCTTTGGCTACGTTCTCGGTTTTACCAGCCCAAGCCTTGAGAGCGCTTTGCTGGAGGGCTCCGCCAAAAGAGAAAGTGAGCGTCCATGGCTTCAACACATCAAGCTTGTTCATTGCGTTTAGATTTAGTGTCGCTTGCTCTTCCCGCTGTACGCCTGAGAGGAACACGATTCCCGGAATAGCTGGTGGGACTGTACGGCACAGAGCAGTCACCGTGTATTCCGCGATTACTTCCGGTGCAACCTGTAAGAAGAACAATTTTAGCGTTTTGTAGCAAATTAACGTCGCATTTCGAGGTATTTATGTCTCTGTGATTCATTTGATTGTGGTTCCGTAAGGAGCAGGCATGTAAATCTAAATAAAATAGCATCAAACCGATAAAGTTTGGTTGTGTTTTCAGTTTCGAAATATAAGACCAATAAAACCGAAAAATCGGAAACAACTGTTCCAAAACAAAACCCGGATTGCCCACACCTAGTTTCGTTACCTTTGGGCTGTCGGAACCGGGAGTGACCATGTTAGGTTTAAGCAGAGTGCCTTCGAGGAGGACATGGTGGTCGTTCAAGGCCTTGAACACGGCAGCAAGAACCGTCTCGGTCACCGCCGCACATTTCTTGATGTCGTGGCTCCCACCGGTCAGCACCTCTGGCTCCACGATCGGGACAAGTCCGTTCTCCTGGCAGATGATGGCATAGCGGGCTAGCACCTTGGCGTCCTCTTGGATCGAGAGAACGCTTGGCTCAGTGGCCCCAATCTTGAAGAATGCACGCCATTTAGCAAACCGGGCTCCTGCCTTGTAATAGTCCTGGCACCGTGCACCAAGCGAGTCTAGACCCTGAGTAATGGTCTCGCCGTTGGTTCCTGCTAGATCAACCAAACCCTTGTCTACTTTGATTCCGGGGATAACACCGTTCTCCTGATCCAAAGAAAAATCAGAATCCAAACTAAAACAATAAGTTCCATTTGGGTCATGTCAAGAGCTTCAACTCTGCAACTCTTGAACCCAATGATTAAGACTAGAGCTGGAGTTTGCTTTTTCTGAGACGGACCATGAGGAGATCGACGAAGGGTTTTCCATCAGAGGTTTTCTGGTAGAGGGTTTCCTCGAAGAGTATAACACCAGAGAGGCAAGGGTAACTGCCAGGGGAAGTGAAGAGGAGCTCTCGGTAAGCTTGGCGGTTGGACTCAATGTTCTCAACATTGATTCCGGCGAATCGTTTCCCGATGGTTTCTGTGCTCTCGTCTGCCGCCAAAATGCCCCTTCCCGGCGTTGCAATGTACTTGGCCGTCTTGATCAGCTCATCTGAACTCAAAAAGCACAAAAAATGGAGAACCTGAAGATTCTGGAACACGAAGGAAGAGTGCATTTTAAGTGTACTTACCTGCGTATTTGCCAACAAAAGCAGACATCGTTGCTGTTTGGATGCCAAGACAAAGGCCTTTAGGGTAATATCTCCTAGGAATATACAGTTAGAAAGGAGAGCCCGGGGAATATCATCAACTTCGGGTAAAGCGAATGAATGATTGCTTCGACACTACCAAATGCCAGCCAAGGATACCAGCTTTATCTCCAAAGTCTTGGATATGTGGAGAAGAGAAAGAGTAAGGTACAAAGCAAAAGCAGAGTGTTTTCCATAGTACATCTCTCATACTTCAACCACATGAGTGTTTTCCATAGTACCTCTCTCAAACTTCAACCACATGAGTCTGCAACCAAACTTTGATATTTTGGACATTGAAGCCAAATGTAATTTTCTTTTCTTTTGTCATCATTGGCCCAATAGCCATATACCTCCCACTCATTGGCCCAATGGAGAGAGAGACCTGGTTCGAAACTGGATTTATGAGATGACAATAGAGGTGGTGCAACCACTGGCCACAAGTATTTAACTTTCGAAGCAAAATGTATTATGCTTATGGAGTATCATTCCAAGGATATTGATATATGGTACACAAGAGTTGCAGATGCAGTATCAAGAGTTCCAAGGATAACTATATATGATACACCGAATCCCAAGTCCCGGGATCGATCAACCCCTCACTTGGGCATTTATAAGTAAACAAAACTGTTCCCAACACCTTGAGGGGGTTTAAATGGGAAAACCAACAAAGTTAAGGTGATTCCTTTGATAGTTTGTGTAGCCATTGTAGTGGATAGGATGGTGAATGCATCATTAACTGCTATGCAGGACATGGATGGGACAACTAATGCTGCAGGAACACAGTGGTCTAGTCATCATCTGTGCCAAAATATCGGTCCCCAAACTCGCCCATACCAGGAATAACACGAAATTCTTCGTTTAACCCATTATCGATTTCAGATGTCACTATCTTTATTCTTGGGAACTTTTTGCAGACAACATGAACACCTTGAGGTGCCTGATTGAACAAAGAAAAAAAATCTCAATCCAGCTCCATTCTTGTGGATAAACATGGATAAGGAGTAATCACAAGGTGTGTATAGATAATATGCAAAGGGTGTGTTAGCTTACTGATATAAGGTTTAGAAATATGATGTTTCCCTCAGGTACGCCCTTGCTTATAAGGAGGTTGATAGCTTCAACCGCTGAGTTTCCTGACAAGATGTATAATTTTCAGTGTCACTAGGCACTTCAAGTGTGTAGAATTGGCTAACAATGTGCACTCGAGCAAAGAGAAATAGGAAATAATTTTTTTTCAGTAAAAAGTAATGAAGAAAGACGGGTTAATTACCTGTGCCGAGAATAGGATCCAACAATAGGACATGCCTCTCCGAGATATCATTTGGCAATTTCTCATAAACAAGCTGCAGAGTGATTCAGATATCAAACAGTGATGAAATAGAACACCTGGACTGAAATAGGAGTGACTCGTTTACCTGTTGACCATTGTCGCCTTCTCTGTGAATTAGGATCTTCCCGATCTTGATACCTTTGCAACATGCTCGCAGTGCATTCTCCATGCTCTCACCACTAGCATTATTTCAAAACACCATCAAGTTGGTGAGAGAATGGGATATGAAAGGATGCGGAAATTTCTCTTGAATAATTAAAGCTAGGATATAGGAAAGTACCTCCTAATCACAGAGACACCACATAACCGTTTACAGAAATCCACACCAGAATACACACATCCTGAGACAGGCAACCAGGATATCTATGAGCTATTAGTCATGTGTTTAACTGCTACAACTATACATAATAATCTTGTGAATTCACGAACAACACTGCAAAAACAATAATCACTAAGCTTACCAGTTGGAGTAATCACTTGCTTTTCAGTAAAAGGCAGATGTCCAAGACCATGTTCTACAACCTAATAAATGTAAGAAAAAATTCAGACAACAGAAATGAGACGTGACAGGAGAATTTGCTCAACCATTTGAATAAGCTTTTAATAATCATACCAGCCTAATCAATCGATCAGAATAGAAGACAAAATCATGTTTGGTTGTCTGAGAATCTCGTATAAGGGTGTGCATCCCTCTTATCTGCAAGAGAAAGCAATTTTTTGTGGCAAACACAAGTCTTGTTTGGTAGTTAAGAGAATGTTACTCATAGTTAGATGAGACTGATATATTAATTACCTGAAATGTCGAGTGTATAACATAGAGATTAGGATATATTTTACAGAGATCATGTTGACCCAGCTTGGTGCAAATATGTTGCACAATTAAGTCAATAGCTACATGATTATCCCCACCACGAGGGATTATAATATCTGCATATTTCTTTGTCGGAAGAATGAAGTCATCAAAAGCAGGCTTCACAAACTTTGAGTACTGCATCAAAAGGTTGACATCATATAAGATATGTGTAGGAAACATAGATTTGAAAACGCAAAACTAATATGGGCGAAAAATATACAGATCAGAGCAATGGAATATGCGAAATGCAAGAGGTAAACAATTTCTTGTTGTTCTTGAAGATAATATACTGTAACAATACTAACACGGGCTAACCTGGTCAAGTACTGTGCCGATATCTCTACCATTCTCGACAGTGTCTCTTTTTATCCTTCTTGCCAAACGAACGTCAGCATCTACGCAGAAAAAAAATTATGCAATGTGAAACAGCTGAGCTGCTAATTTTGAAAAAACAAAGCATTTCTTAAAGCATAAGAAGTTGTTCCTTCATGTGAAATCTTACTAGTAGAAAAAGGCCAAGTGAAGCTACAAAAAGGGAAAAGGAATATAGTAGAAACAAGAGTTTACAGTAATTATAATGGAAAGTTGCAACAAATTACCTGTGCAAACAAAAATCTTCATGTTCATCAATTTTCTGACGCGTGGATCATGGAATAAAAGTATCCCTTCTAGAATTATTACATCCGTAGGATTTACCTGCAGAATGTTTTTCAAAATCCGAGAAATAAATAAGATAAAATTTATGTCTCCTTAGATCCCTAACCAGATAAAAGCCAGTTGTGACATCTAAGAAATTGCTATTGTTACAGAAAGAGGCAGTAAGAAAATGAAAAAGGTGTCTCAAGGTCATCAGCATCAATGAACAATAGATTATGACAATGAGTGACGCTGAGAGGAGAATGGTACCCTTCTGAAAACACTGCTCCTGTAAGTTTTGAAATCATATTTTGGAATATCTACCGATTGCCCTTGCCTCAATTTTTCCATACAGGATAATAAATGCTCTGTGTCAAATGCGTCTACAGAAACAATAATAATTCATTAGAATCCATGATAAAAAAATTAATGGAGGATGACAAAGAGTAATATATAAGACTTTTGCTCATCAATCCCAGCGACTAGTAAGGTGAGATGTCAGGGATGAAATTGCTTTAATAAAAGAGAATACATCAATTACTAAGATGGCACTGAAGAATATGGTTGTTAGTTATGCCTTAATAACCCCCCAAAAAAAATCCCAATGAAGCCAGGGAAGATATTTTAATCCTGATGACATTATGAATTGACAAGAGTAGATTACAGAAAGCAGTCACACTCCGAATATAGTCTCACCTGGATGGTCAAAGTTGTATTCATGAACTCTAGCAAGTTCTTCTTCAGTCAGATTATGATAGAACGAGTCCTGCCAAAGTATTTATCATTGGATATTAAGTGGAGCAATTTGTGGTTTATCATGATGGCAAATGTATTTGAGAATTAGATACATACACTAACATAAATATCTAAACAATGGTGACAAGGTAGAACCATGTTAAACTTCAGCCATTACACGTTATCGGCTGGTAATATTCTCCTTTTAGATCTCTAAATTGCGTGGAATTCAATTGACTTCATATACATTTGAAACACAGATCAAACCAATCACTTAGCTCTATGAAACTTTATTAGCAAAATAAAATTACCAGGTTAATAAGTACAACACGCTGATCATGCAGTTGCTGGATTATCATATCACAAACAGTAGTCTTTCCCGATGCTGCGCCTCCAGCAACACCTAAGATATAAAATCAAGACCATTGGTCAAGATTTTCTTTATCCACGACCATATATTAAGCAAAAATGAAAGCTTTTGTAAAAGAAGAACTGACCTATAACAAAAGGCTGTCTTTGGATATATTCTGATGCAGAAGTGGTATCCTTAACTGCTCTAGGTTCCAACCCATTCATGTGGCCATTCACGTGTAAACCAGAAAAATGTACCCCCGAGGCAGCTTCGATCATGTCAACAACGGACTTAGAACCCATCCCGACGACAATTCTGGACATTGAACATAGGTAAAAATATCTTAATCTCTATCACAATCATGCATAAGCAAACAAGACACAGGGAATCTTACAACTTTAGCTAGATTCTCAATTTCTCGAGAGCAAAATATGCAATTCAATTCTAGAATCCTAACTCACTATTCGTATAACAACAAATGTGAATCAAAAAGCCCACTTAATCCAGCAAAACAGAGAAGAAAAGAGTGAAAGTTTCAGCTGCAACCAAAACTGTAAATCCGAACTCTTTATATAACCATAGATCAACAAATGCGAGAAGAATCCAAAACAAACAAAAACATTTAATCAAACATGGAAGAACCAAAGCCTGTAGGACCAGAACAGCAATGATCGAACATCTCGAGGTGAAATCGTACTACATGACAAAAACAGATCGTTCAAAAGAGAAAAGTAGTAAAAATGAGATTTTTAAAATTACCCAGATTCAGCTTTGCTCTCGAGGATCTCAGGAAAATCTCAAATAAGAAAAAAAAACGGAGATGCAGTTTCTTTCTCTGGAAGTAGACAGAAACAATAGAATCTCAGATAAGAAAGGGACAGATTTTTTAATTTGATTTAAATTTAATTAAGTGTTTTAAGTTATAATAATTGCTTACATTGGGAAAAGCTGGATTCGGACATGATTGATTTGATATATTATAATGGCGGAGCGTGTTTGAGGTGACGAACGAAGAACAAGGAAGACGAAGCTTGAAGAAAATATAAATAAAAATCTAGATATCTTTTTCTTTTCCTTTTTTGTTGTTTGTGAAAATAGTCGTATACTTTTCTAATTGTTCAAAATCAGCCCCACGATTGATTTTAGATCCAATTTTTGGATTTTGGTGGACTATCTCCCTCAAGTTCTCAACGGCTCCGGTAATTTCCCGGTTTAATTGCTAAAATCGTAAAAGAAATCTGCGGTATTGGTGTTGAGATTTTTAGGCCACTCCTCACAATTTTAGCCATGACCGATGGACAACGAGGCAACGACCATACGGTCTATAGACTTTAACTCTTATTAGTTTCATGACTTCATTCATCTTCTCCAAACAGTCCATATTTAAGACAAAAGTGAGAAAAGAGTTGCGTTCAAATTTGACTGTTTATTTTGTTTCAAGTCAATTCCGA